TTCATTCACGTGTGTGGCAACGCACTTTGAAAAAATTACGCACTTTAAAAAAATTTTCAAAGTGCGTTAAAATTTGGACACAATCAACGCACTTTGAAAAAGTTTTTCAAAGTGCGTTAAGAGTCTACATCAATATATTTTACCATGGAGATACTTAACGCACTTTGAATAAAAAAATCATATTTTAGTCATGGAAGGATTTTATTATTTATCGTTCAAAAAACTAAGCCTAACCCTAACCTCAAAAATGAATTGATTTACTCCCGTCGAAAAGAGAAGACGGGTATAAGATCCCTTAGTCCAAATCTTTATCTTTCATACATAGGTGTCGGTAACAAACGGGGGGGGGGAGCAATAAACCTAAAAAGGGTACGCTGCATTTTCAATGCTTGTACAATGTATATATCTTTCCAAAATAAGTGGAGGGCTTAGCCCCCCCCCCATCCCTTCCCCTGGCCCTTCGCCCAGTCTCGATGTCTATGCTATACTCAAAGCATTCAAATAATTATGTATTTACCTAAATGGTATGACGTTGAAAACTTTCAATAATAAATGAGTTCATTTCATAGATGAAAACTAGAAATTTTTAAGTACAGTAAAACGTATGAGAGAGGAAGAATTTTCATAGTTTTGAACAATCAAATTGGCCCCTTTTTATTATGATAAATGCTAAGTTGCTTGAAGCTGTCCTCTGTTAGTGCCCCCTATACACCTTTACATCTACTTATCAAAGACTAGAATTAAAAAAAAAGAAGAAACGAATTAATGAACTTAAACAATCGTCACTCTTTTTTCCAAGACCCTTTAATTTTCCCTTTTATTTTATCAAAACCTTAAATATTTAAAACGTCAATATCTCAGGTCTTACAGTGACTTTATCATAAAAAAGTTATCAAACCAGGATCTGTTATTTATCATACCGATTATTTAGTTTAAGAAGTATTTTATTCATAATATACAAAGAGTACAATATGAATATGGATTGAACAGCAGGCCAAGGGCCTATATTAGTTCTCTCCATTTAAGATCAAGGTACACATGGTAAATTAAATTACTGTACATATTTTAAGTTCAACAAAACATGTATTATAAATTAATATTAAGAGAATTATAAAGAATACATGGTTGAAGAAAAATTGAGGAGAAAAAATGCATAAAGAAAACAATAACATAAATTTAAAAGAAAAGAAAAAAATGATGGAAAAAACAAACAAACAAAAATTTAAGTAATAAGAATGTGGAGAGGAAGGCTCAGACTAAAATCTTTTAGTATTTTTTATAAAATTATGAACTTGGTCAAAGAATAACATATTTTCTCTAAGAGACAGACAATCATAACCTGATAATACAATATTGACATCTCTTGGTATGTCATGGTCACTCATGTATGTAATTAAAATGTTCCTGGCAAAATCATAACATGGGCATTGAAAGAAAAAATGAACAGAGTCTTCAAAACAATATCCACATTTTATGCATTTAGGTGAATCAACTAAATTATGATTAAACAAGTCTGCATTAAGATTACTAGAGAAGTTTCTCAACTGACAGTGGAGTATATTTAATTTTCTTTGTCCATAATTGTATGATTTGGATTTTCTTTTATCTTTAAGATTTTTATTTTGCATACACTGTTTAAACTTTGCTACACTTGTTACAGATTTTAAGCTATCTGGCAAATCATTCCATAATTTAATTGTAGATGGTAAAAAACTATTGTAGTATGTAACTGTTCTAGTGATTGGTAAGTGATACGAATTATTGCGTAACGCGTAATTATGTGAAACAGGTAGGCATTCATTGACCATTTCTTGCAAATATTCAGGTGTATAATCATTAAGTATTTTGTACATAAGTGTAAGCTTATGTTTAGTTCTTCTTTCACTAAGCGTTTGCCATCCTAATTCATGATACAATTTTTGTTTCGAAGAATTGCGCCTTAACCCAGTAATGATACGCCCAGCCTCTATTTGCACACTCTCTAATAGATTACTCTGTTCCTGTGTGCAATTATCCCATACTACATTTCCATATTCTAATATAGGCCTTATAAAAGCAATATAAATACTAATAAGGGAATCTCTGTTTAATTTGTATTTAAGGGTGCGAAGAACATTTAAACGTTGACATGCTTTATCATATAATTTAGATATATGTTCTGACCAACCACCATTGGATTGTAGTATAAGTCCAAGGTGGCAGTGACTTTGCCGTTGTTCTATGTAACTATTTACATAACCAAATGAGATTTGTGGATGAGCTTTATTTGACCGGGTAAAATTAACATTTACAGTTTTGCTAGGGTTAAAGTCTACCATCCATTGTCTGGACCATTGTTTAATTTTTTCCAAGTCATTAATTAAAGAGACAGCAGGGGCTTGTGTATCAGAGTCTACAATTACAAACAAAGAAGTATCATCTGCAAATAACCTAATTTGATTTTCTAAATCTTCAGTTATGTCATTAATGTATATCAAAAAGAGGAATGGTCCTAATACCGAACCTTGTGGGACGCCTGCATTTATACTTTCTCTAACTGAGGAGTACCCTTCTATTAAAACTTTTTGTTCACGATCAGTAAGATAGTTTTCAATCCAATCCAATATATTTCCGACAACACCATTCTGCTTAAGCTTAAATAATAACCCCTTATGCCAGACCTTATCAAATGCTTTTGATATGTCACAGAAAACAAATCTTACATCTTTGCCTTGGTCTAAATTGCTTATAATACTATTGTATATTTCTAGAAGCTGATTTACGGTGGAGTCCCCAGGTTGGAATCCAGACTGATTCTTGGATAAAAGATTATGATCCATCATATAGTTTTGGAGATGTTTGAAAATAATTTTTTCCATAATCTTACAGAGAATACTAGTTAAAGCTATAGGTCTGTAGTTTCCTGGTTCTTCGGGACTACCTTTATTTTTATAAACTGGTGTAATATTTGATAGTTTCCATATATGGGGAAGCTGTTTGCTGATTAATGATGCATTAAACAATTTTGCTAGGGGTGCATTGATAGACGGAATTATATTTTTCAGTATATGTGGAGAAATATCATCTGGTCCTGGGGGTTTAGATGGGTTGATATTATGTAATTGATCCTCCACTTCTTGGGGTGTAGTATGAATTGTGTTTATTGAATATGGTGGACCTGGCCCTTGACGGGGTAGTTCGGATTCTGTGCTCACATCAATATGTGATATTTCTGCAAAGTGTTTATTAATTATATTCATAATCATACCGATTATCTGAAGGAATATTGATCAATCTTTACATTTTTTTCAAAGTGCGTTAATATGGTCGATATTAACGCACTTTGAAAAAAAAATGTTTTTTTCAAAGTGCGTTAGCTTGGTCCCAAATTTTAACGCACTTTGAAATTTTTTTTTTAACATTCAAATATTTGAAGCATTACATGATCATATTCTGTACCATATCTTGCTGATGCGATATGTAGCGGTAATGTGTTGTTTTCGGCTGATTCAATATGTAGCGGTAATGAGTTGTTTTTGAGCCAAAAAAATGTAGCGGTAATGATCGGTCGAAAATTTGAAAAAATGTAGCGGTAATGAGTTGAAATTTTGGGCGATGTAGCGGTAATGTTGACCTCCCATCTATCTCTTATCCGCAACTCCTCCTTTAGCATTTTGAATAAAATTTAATGAAAGTTTCACACAAATTAGTAATGCCATTAATTGTGACCTTCTAATTTACTTTTTGATCTGCATGACACTTATTTTGGGTCCCCATGGCAAAACACGGGCTATTTTAATCATATGGGAGGTGGTGTATTATTTTGTGAGCTCAATGCTGATAGTACCTCTAGTTTATTTATATATACAGAGTCTTTAATATCGTATCAGTCACATATTGATCACTTCATGATGGCATCGGATTTTCTCTTATAAAACTTTGGCGATGGCATTTACAAACTCCAGGGATTATCAGTCAATCTGATTTGTTATTTTAAGAATAGATAGAGTAAATTCCAGCAAAAATTAAAACACATCGTCCCTTATTTTTGGTCTGTGTCAGTTTTGTGTTCGATGATATTTCATTCGTGATCAATTAATAAAGTACAAATATAGCGTAACATGCTATTAATTGTTGCAATCAAAACAAGTTTATCTGCCTCTGAGGGAATCTTATTTTCACAAAACAAATATACCAAGTGTCCTTTATGGCTTTCATCATGTAAAATCACAGAAAAGGATACTCTGAATGTGTGGTATGCATACCTAAATCAGGACATCGGGCCCGTAGAAGGCGGTGGAGGGGGGCTTTAAACTAAGGTATCATCATTGAAATTATGACATTATATTTAAACGATATGAAAATTGTCTTTTTTGCAAAAAAGATATTTCAGGGTTTTACAATCTAATTAAAATTAGACTTGTATATTCGCCCCTCTACTATTTTATTGATAGAGGAGCGAAAATGCAAGTCTAATTAACTTTAATTAGATTGAGGGTTTTAAATTTTATGTTATTAAATGCAGTTGCATAATGGCATGGTATGAGACTGTAGGCCTTAGGCATTTGATCCAGGCCAATAAATAAAAATAAAATAAAATAAAATAAAATAGATAAATAAATTAATTAATTAATAAATAAAAATCATTCTAATTGAAATTATACCTTTGATGCGCTCATCCAGATATAATTTTAAACAGATTGGATAAATAAATAAATATTTAATAAATAGGCATTATAAATAAATAAATAAATAAATGAATAAATAACATTCTAATTAAAATTATAATGCCTTTGATCCGCTGATCCAAAGTTTAATTTTAAATAGATTGCGTCAATAATAAATAAATAAATAAATAAATAAATAAATAAATAAATAAATAAATAAATCATTTTTTAGTCAAGTTATTTATTTATTTGTTCACTCATTCCTTTATTTGCCAACCATAGGTCCGAGAGCACAATATAGGACATAACCATGATAACATCATAAAAATCTGGTTGTATATTTGGTCGGGCTCGACATTCAAGGTTTTTTCATGTGATGAACAAAGTCAAACTCAAAGTACGAAAATAGAAGTGTGTAAATTAGTTTGAGACAATGGCAGATTATAGCGAGGTAAGATTGTGTCATATCTTAATGAAGCTATAAGTGAATTCTGTTTTCTTTTTCCAAAGGTTAAGAATTTATTGGGCACTTTGTGTAAACTATCATGAAATCGTTCCAGTTTGTAACCCCACGGTCAACATGGTCAAGCTGCATGTTTTAACTTACGGTTTTGCTTTCCGCAATAAATGTCATATAACTTAACATTTGAAATAATTATATTTTCCCAGATGGGCTATAAATATACACTGCAAAAAATGAAAATTTTTTATTTCGGCAAGAGATATCATAAATCCATAAATCTGCATCAAGATGGCTTTGCTTTACAAGATTTTCGGTATGCCCATTGTTTAGGGGTTAACCCTTAATTTCTTGGGGATCAATCTAACAAACTGTAGAGTTGCAGTAAAATTTGTTTGCCAAAAGTTGTTCCTTTTGAAGTATTTGATGATAAATAATTCCCAAATATTCTATCCTATTTCACTGCTGAATGTCAATGATTTAGGCACAGTGACACTTACATTGGTAACTTTAATTTGTTTTATTTATCATTTTTATGGAATTTTTCTCCTCAATTAAATTTTTTAGCTCCTCTGAATAAATAAAACAAAAGGATAAATAAAAAATGTTGTTTATTAACATAATTGATAAACATTTATTTAATGGATGAACATATGTACATGTATATATGTGTAAAAAAAAATATAAATTTATCAAGTAAACCTTACTAAACAAAGTGGTTTGGAATTCTATTTTCTTCAACATGCAATGAAAATGCATGATTTGAAATGATTGATTTTAATATATATTTGTAAAACTGTTATTGTCTCACCTTTAAAAAAATAACATATATATGAACAAAACCCTATTTTTCAAATCACACTGTCTAATGTCTGACTGTGACAGATGAATATAGATTTTGAGGTTAAAACATGTTTCTAGTACATGCTTTGATCTGCATGTCATTGTCACATGAGATTAGAATTGCTTAGCTGATAACACAAAAAAAAATATACAGGTGACTCTCGATCTCTCGAATTTCAAGGGACCGCAAGAAAAGTTCGAGAGATCGGGGGGTTCGAGAGATAGAAAGTAGATAATATCCGGAATTTTCAGTTCCGATCATCGATGTTCTACTATTATAAATACCGGAAGTATATGTAAATAAAGTCATTTCACGTTTTTCAATCATATTTTACAGGTGATTTACTTGATATCAACAGCAATGATCATATTTCGACTGTCTAAATAAAACAAATTCCTAAAGTTTCAATATTTATTTGTTCTTTTTTCATGATTAATGAAACCCGAATAGCAATTGTCGGTTTGGCTATTCCGCAGCTTGATCGGGTCCTTCACCAGTGTTCACCAGATGTTTTTAATCGGTATTCAGTCCTTGAGAAAGGAATTTCTTGTGCAATATTTGCAATACTGGGGTTTACTTATGTAGAATCCAATAAAAGTTCATATCTTTGGAAACGTAATAAAACGAACGTCTATAAATTATTTTCTAAAAATTATCGTCTTGGTCTCAAGTCAAAATAAGTTGTGAATTTGTTATAATTTACCAATATAATAACCAGTTAAATATATCAACACATGGACGACCCACAGGTGTAGTGTCATCTATGTAAACACCCAATTAACACCTCCATTCCAGCCCTGGGCGTTCACTGTTTTCCAGGTAAGTCAAGGCTGCATCAATTTTACGCTTGATTGGCGTGTATATGCGCCGCAATCAAAACTTCGAGAGATAGAGAGTAAAATTCAATAAAATATCTGTAACGGGACCCATGTTTTGGTTTGAGAGATAGAGAACTTCGAGAGATAGAAATTCAAGAGATCAGGAGTAAATTTGCTTAGTTATATAGAGGGAAAAAACGGGACTGGAGGTTCACTTTGAGAGATCGGAGTTCGAGCCATCGAGAGTCACCTGTACAGTATCTACAATCTACACTTAATACTTGCATAATGATATCATATTGGGATTTATTCGAAGGCAGTGCTGACAAAAGTGAGCACTATGGCCCATGGGCCTTTTTCCTTTTCATGATATCTCAAGTTGGAAGACCATACATTTTATGTATATTAACTAAATATAAATGATTTCACTTTTTACATATGCTTAGATGATGGAAGGTCTTCGCAAAGCATTCAAGAGTGGTGTGACAAAATCATATGAATGGCGGAGAAAACAGCTTGAGGGAGTGCTCTCATTTCTGGATGATAACAGAGACAAAATTTGTCAGGCTCTGAAGGAGGATTTACATAAGGTACATTTAATGCATAGCCAATCTTTTAATCTGTGGAGATAGCTCCTCTCTGTGGGTTAGGCAGTCTCTAATCCACTTGATGGTGGAGGAATGTTTTTATTCATATATTCTACACTTTAAGTTGAAGTTAAATCATTTTTAATAATGTCATATATATTCTTCAAATTTGGCTTTTTATCAACACGTCCTAGCAATATGATTTTCTATAAGTTTATTTATTGCAGCCCACATTAGAATCAGCTGTGTTTGAAATTGATTTCACTAGAAATGACTTGATTGAAACAATGAATAACCTAAAAGATTGGATGAAGCCAGAAAAGGTATTGGTTTTTAGCTCACCTGAGCCGAAGGCTCAAGTGAGCTTTTCTGATCACATTTTGTCTGGCATCCGTCTGTCTGTCTAGCTGTCTAGCTGTCCATCTGTCCAGCTGTCTGTAAACTTTTCACATTTTCGACTTCTTCTCAAGAACCACTGGGCCAATTTCAACCAAACTTGCTACAAAGCATCCTTGGGTGAAAGGGATTCAAGTTTGTTCAAATGAAGGGCCACGCCCTCATTCAAGGGAAGATAATTGGGAATTAATGAAAATTTGGTGGTATGTTTTATAAATCTTCTTCTCAAGAACCACTGTGCCAGGAAAGATGAAACTTATGGGGAAACATCCTCAGGTAGTGTAGATTCAAATTTGTCCAAATCATGACCCCTGGGGGTAGGGCGGGGCCACAATGGCCGACCAAAGTTTTACATAGAAATATATAGGAAAATTCTTTAAAAATCTTCTTCTCAAGAATAACAAAGCCATGATTGATCATATTTATATGGAAGCATCCTCAGGTAGTGTCAATTCAAGTTTTACATAGAAATACGAGGGGTGATCAAAAAGTTCGCAAACTAATTGAATAACTTCCATACAAGAAATAATATTTGGTTTTAATGTTGATTATATTTTAAATTAATCCTCCCCGATTTTAATGCATTTTAATCATGACCCCTGGGGGTAGGGCGGGGCCACAGTGGCCGACCAAAGTTTTACATAGAAATATACAGGAAAATTCTTTAAAAATCATCTTCTCAAGAATAACAAAGCCATAATTGATCATATTTATATGGAAGCATCCTCAGGTAGTGTTGATTTAAGTTTGTTCAAATCATGACCCCCGGGGGTAGGGCAGGGCCACAATGGCCGGCCAAAGTTTTACATAGAAATATATAGGAAAATTCTTTAAAAATCATCTTCTCAAGAATAACAAAATCATAACTGGTCAAAGGTTTACTTTTGGATTTAAACTTTTCAATAATAAACTAATTTCTACTTTTTTCCTAGCCACAGTGCTCAGGTGAGCGATGTGGCCTATGGGCCTCTTGTTATTCTTAATTTGATTAAGAATTAAAACAAACATATAAACAAGCAAGATTCTTAATGACAGCCCCAAAGGCTGGAATGGGGTCATGCAAGGAGATTAATGTTTTATGTGAAAGTAGATAAATCAATAGACCCAGAGTCTTAAGTACACCATAATACATATAACACATGTACCTTCATTGAAACTATGTGAATGATGCATCCTTGTCTACAATATACAAGTAATAAGATAGAAATGCAGTATATTTTGTAGATGTTAAATAAAACATCTTAAACATGATAACCCAACTTTTACAGGCAAAGAGACCATTACTGAACATTATGGACACTGCTTACATACAGAGGGAGCCGTACGGAGTGGCCTTGGTGATTGGGGCCTGGAATTACCCCATTCAGATAACTGTCCTCCCCGTCCTGGGGGCTCTGGCAGCGGGGAACTGTGTTGTCCTGAAACCCTCCGAGATGGCAGCCTCCACAGCCAAGCTCCTGGAGGAAGATCTGCCCAGATACCTAGATAAAGTAGGTAAACATACTGCCCAGATACCTAGATAAAGTAGGTAAAAATACTGCCCAGATACCTAGATAAAGTAGGTAAACATACTACCCAGATACCTAGATAAAGTAGGTAGAAATACTGCCAAGATACCTAGATAAAGTACCGTAATTTTTGGGTTATAGGTCGATGGGGTATATAGGTCGAAAGGCTCATTTTCAGCCTTAATTTTTGAAAAATCCTAAGATAGGACGAACTTACTATATAGGACGAGGCTTTGTTTCCCGTTTTCTAAAGATTCTTATGCAGATACAACGTATCAGAACAGGTAAACCCCTAGAATTACCGGGGTTATTCTGTGACATAAACGTATCAAGAAATTAAACAGGTATTTTAATGAGTACAGAATTTGAATAAAGTTTTTTTTTTTTAAAAAGTAGTTAAAACTTCTTTGAATTGTGTTACTACTTATTTTTTTCCAACTTGCCTGTTCAATGCCTCCGTAGTTTTCACACCGTTGTTAAATCAAAGGCATAAATAACACGTAAATACATTATTATTTTACAGCTATAATATTTGGGAAATACCCGAGACCAAAGAATAGTAATTCCGATATCAGAACAACTTGGACACATTCCTATTAACTTTATTCAGACATTATTTACCGTTGGACGACAATTACTTCGATGTCCGCCATTTTTATTTTTCTTCTCAAGGGATTCGCTAAAACACGCAAATGGCCATTGAATGTATATATCAAGCAACAGTTAAGAATTGAAATCATATTAACACTCTAATAAGTTTAATTTATAAATTTAATTTGAGAGTACATTCACAATTTGACTGTCAACGGCTTTGTTTGTTCAATGATGTGTAACACCAATACCCTATAACGGCACGTGGGTTTGTTATAATCATGCCCCGTAGGCATTTAAACCAACAGGTGTTACACCTTTGCGTACACAGTGTAAATCCCTTTATCTTTCAGACAATTAAAATTCTGTTAGAAGTCAATCTTTGTATACCGGTAATTCAATGTAAATTATATTTCTGTCACCCGTATTTATTACTAACTCTTTGCTTAAGACAATAAAAAATATTTAATATACTATTTCAATTTATCGCTACTATTAAATGGTAAAAACACTACAGTTAATCTTGAAAATTTTTGCGTATTTTAAATTTTGATACGGCTGCGGTTTTACTTTTAGTAAACGGTAGCGACTTCCTAACTTCACAAGATGGATACCGCATGATGTTAATGGATAATACGTTGAGGAATTATTTAATAGATGAAGCAATGTTGTTTTTTTTGTCATCAACGGATAATTAATGGAATTTATTTTGTAAGAAAGCTATAGAATAAATATTTTATTGTTTACCTGGGCATTAATTTTTCTGTGTAAAATAATGAAAAAAGTTATGAAAGTGGCACAGATTTGCTTTGAAATTGACGTGAATTTTATTGATTTGGGGGCACTTTTCGTAATCTTGAGCCTTAGAAAGGTCGAATTCGTATATTGGGCGACCCCAGCGGTTCTGAGAAAAAAGTATCGACCTATTATCCAAAAATTACGGTAGGTAAACATACTGCCCAGATACCTAGATAAAGTAGGTAGAAATACTGCCAAGATACCTAGATAAAGTAGGTAAAAATACTGCCCAGATACCTTGATAAAGTACATAATAATACTGCCCAGATACCTAGATAAAGTAGGTAAGAATACTGCCCAGATACCTAGATAAAGTAGGTAAAAATACTGCCCAGATACCTAGATAAAGTACTTAAAAATACTGTAAAAGAGGAAAGTTTGAATAGGAGGAAACATTGATGATTTTGACGAATGACTTAAGCTCGTCAAAGTTTCCTCTCGTCATTTTTTTATTCTTTGTCGTTCCCCTTGCACGCGCTTTAGGTCTATGGTGTAATCATGCATCATTGTCTACCTTATATTATGCGAATGCCGATCCCAAAAAGATAATAACATTGTACATACAGCTAATAAACTTACATGAAATATTAAACTAGTTTAGAAAAAGAAAAAATAATATATAAGATATCTGCTTGTTATTGAAATTTTACATGATAAATTAGTAAAAGAAACACTTATTTAAATGACTCAATTATACGGTACATAAATGTGTAATTACTACCAAGCCCTGTCGATCGACAGGATTCTTGCTTAAGGTAGTATTACCCGACAGTTAAATGCTATACAAACAAAAACTTCCTTTTATCCATTTATTTATTTAATTTTAACAACTTAATGTTAACATATATCGTTAGTATGTACTGTAATGTACAGGTCTGGAGGAGATAATTGTTTCTGACAATTTTATGAAAAAAAAAAAATCATCATGTTAATAGCCGGTTCCGTTAATATCGACCTCAATGAAGGCTATATGGCCAGCATAACATGCTTACTGGTAAAAAAAATGAACTTGGAAAACTAATTTTACATAAGTTCATTAGTAGCTACGGATGTAGTTTGTACTATATCTGTAGGTTTTAGGAATTTAAGAAAGATAACTCATTTTTAGCTCACCTCAACAAAGTTGGGGGAGCTTATGTAATACCCTCGGCGTCGGCGTCGGTGTCGGCGTCGGCGTCCCGGGTTAAGGTTAAGTTTTTTGGAGCAGTTTTCTTTTTAAGTACTTCTATGTCCAATACTGATTAGACATGCATCGAAGATGGTTCTAGTGTGTTTCATTGTACCAGTCAAAGTTTCAGATGCTGCAATTTTAGCAAAGGTATGACCAGGTTAATGTTTTTGGAGCAGGTTAACATTTTTGGTGTAGGTTTCATTTCCAAGTAACTATAAGCCCTATGTTGACCAAACTTGCATGGATGATACATCTAAGGATGCATACTATCGGGCTTGCTTCGGATGCTGAATCTGACCTACATTTTCCGGTTGAGTGAACAGGTTAAAGTTTTTTGGTGCAGGTTTCATTTCCAAGTATCTGTACATGTAAGTCCTATGTTGACCAAACTTGCATGGATGATACATCTAAGGATGGATACTATCAGGCTTGCTTCGGATGCTGAATCTGACCTACATTTTCCGGATGAGTGAACAGGTTAAAGTTTTTGGTGCAGGTTTCATTTCCAAGTAACTATAAGCCCTATGTTGACCAAACTTGCATGAATGATACATCTAAGGATGGATACTACCGGGCTTGCTTTAGATGCTGAATCTGACCTACATTTTCTGGATGAGTGAACAGGTTAAAGTTTTTGGTGCAGGTTTCATTTGCAAGTAACTTTAAGCCCTATGTTGACCAAACTTGCATGGATGATATATCTAAGGATGCACACTGCTGGGCTTGCTTCGGATGCTGAATCTGACCTACATTTTCCGGTTGAGTGAACAAGTAAAAGTTTTTGGTGCAGGTTTCATTTCCAAGTAACTATAAGTTCTTTAATGACCAATCTTGCATGGATGATACATCTTAGGATGCATACTACCAGGCTTGCTTCGGATGCTGAATCTGACCTACTTTTTGTGGATGAGTGAAAATTTTAGTTTTTGATGTATGTTTCATTTCCAATTAACTATGAGCCTTATAATGTGCAAACTTGCATGGACGATACATCTTAGGATGCACACTAATGGACTTGCTTCGGATGCTGAATTCTACATATATTTTTCAGATAATAGACCAGGTTAAAGTTATCGTTGCAGGTCTATAACCAAAAAACTTTAAGGCTTATATAACATTGTATAAACCGAACTTGCACAAATGTTAAATCAAGAGATGAAAACTCTCAAATTTGCTTCAGATGCTGAATTACATTTTCATGAAGAAGAACTACTTTAAATTTTTTATGTTGGTCTATTTCAAAGTATCAGATCAAAATAGCTGAGATATTTTCATTTTTGGAATGTACACTTTTTGTTAGTTAATTGTGTGACTTTGCCTTATTTAAAGACAACATTCGTTGAGGTGAGCTCTGTAATCTCTGATTACCTATGTTTATTTAGCACAAGTAAAAAAATCTTCAAAGTTTTCACTTGTCAAGTTTTTAAGATGAAGAAATCGTCAAAGTTTCGTACCGCCAATATAACCACTTTTACAGTACTGCCCAGATACTTACTGTAGATCACTAGATTTTCGCGACACCTTATTTTCGCGAGATACTCATTGACTCTTGATTAGCGAGACAAAATGTTCGGGAATTGTGGTTATTGCTCTATATATTCTTAAGAAATACTATTATACGCGAGAATTAAATTTTTGCGAGCACACTGTCTCGCGTAATTACGCGAAAATAAAGTTCTCGCAAATAAAAAATGATTTACAGTAGATAAAATGCATAAAAATACTGCCCAGATACTTGGATAAAGTACGTCTTCTATTGGTTAAAAGTAAAATAAAATACTTTGGTTATAAATGAAACAAGCATTCTGAGAGTATTGCATAAGCAATACATGTCCCCTACCGGGTTCTCCTTTTCCTTGAGGATGTCGTTTTATAAATATGCAAAAGTTATGTCCAAGGTAAAACTGCATGATTTTTAAGTTGTGAATGCCTTAAACCTAATAAAATAATCCACATTAATACGAAAATTCAACTCATTTTTCCAACGTCTTCTTCTCGCTTCATATTTATGTCGACCATCGGAAGTTAGCGCAGCACGAACCCGATCTTAATTAAACGAGAGTGAAAAATTCAAAATGCCATAATTCTGTCAAAAATCAATGAAGCGGTGCGAAATTCAAACTTGATCTGTAACTCATCAAGATACACTCACATACCGAAATTCAGTTCAATATCTGCAAGCGTTTATTCAAAAAGTGCGGAAAACCAAGTGGGGGACAGACAGACGGGGACAGACAGACAGACAGACGCAGAGGAAACCTATAGTCCTCTCCGGTTTCACCGGTAGGGGACTAATAAGATATTAGACTAATCTTAGATTTGGAACTAAACCTGAATAATAGGAAAAAGACACATCTTAGACTTACTCAGGCTCTGATAGTGCCCCCAAAGTACATTGCATTATCTGATTTGGAAGGCACACTCTCTGTTGTAAGCAATATAAGCATTCTCTGTGACAGAATTCTGTTTTCTTTCACTGTATTCAGTGGATAGCACATTGTGTAACTTTTTATTAAAACCTGTGTTACGTGTAACAGGACTGTGTTAAAGTTGTGAATGGTGGAGTTCCAGAGACCACAGCTCTACTGAAGGAGAAGTTTGACTATATCTTCTACACAGGAAACACAATGGTGGGCAAGATTGTCATGAAGGCTGCAGCAGAGCACCTGACACCAGTGACACTGGAGCTGGGAGGAAAAAGGTCTGACCGTCTCTTACTTATAAATATATAACTATATAAATAAAATAGCAAGGGTATACAGCCAAACCTCATTATCTTGAACTCAATTGGACATATGGATATATCTAATGATTTGAGATATCAAAGGTAAAATAAATGGTTGAGGCTTCTAGTCAATTCAGTATACCATGATATTCCAGATATCTGTGTTTGAGATACCAAAGATCAATTGTGTAATTTTTAGAAAATAAATGTGATGTTTATTATGTTTCTGATACAAATACTAAAAGTACTCCAGTTGTGTTTTTTTTTAAGAATTTGGCAAAAAAATAGCGTAATGGCATAAATAAAGCATTGTAACATTTTGTCTCCTCAGCTCTGTTTACATTGATGAGAAGTGTAATATTTTGTCTCTGCGGCCCTGTTTATGTAGTAACATTTTGTCTCCTCGGCCCTGTCTATGTTGATGAGAACTGTAACATTTTGTCTCCTCGGCCCTGTCTATGGTAATGAGAACTGTAACATTTTGTCTCCTCAGCACTGTTTATGTTGATGAGAACTGTAACATTCTGTCTCCTCGGCACTGTTTATGTTGATGAGAACTGTAACATTTTGTCTCCCCGGCACTGTTTATGTTGATGAGAACTGTAACATTTTGTCTCCTTAGCCCTCTTTATGTTGTAACATTCTGTCTCTGCAGTCCTATTTACATTGTAACATTTTGTCTCCTCAGCCCTGTTTACGTTGATGAGAACTGTAACATTTTGTCTCCTCAGCCCTGTATACGTTGATGAGAACTGTAACATTTTGTCTCCTCAGCCCTGTTTACGTTGATGAGAACTGTAACATTTTGTCTCCTCAGCCCTGTTTACGTTGATGAGAACTGTAACATTTTGTCTCCTCAGCCCTGTTTACGTTGATGAGAACTGTAACATTTTGTCTCCTCAGCCCTGTTTACTTAGTAACATTTTGTCTCCTCAGCCCTGTTTACTTAGTAATATTTTGTCTCCTCAGCCCTGTTTACTTAGTAACATTTTGTCTCCTCAGCCCTGTTTACGTTTTTGAGAAGTGTAACATTTTGTCTCCTCAGCCCTGTTTACGTTGATGAGAACAGTGACCTGAGTCTGGTGGCACGGAGAGTATCCTGGGGAAAACTGGCCAACTGTGGACAGACCTGCATCGCCCCAGATTACGTCATGTGTAAAAAAGATATACAGGTAACAAGGATTGTGAACTTCGTCTTACTTTTACAAATGGTACAAGTAACATGTATATAGTGGAAAAATGAGTTTAAGATCAGATTTGAACTTGTCCGAGTTTTATGGCCATTGAGCCAGAAGGGGTAAAAAATGTAAAGTTGCAAACCTCCTCCAAACTAAACTGGAGGTAAAAAGAATACTTAGTTACTAAACAAATTTTCAGGTATTTGCTAAGATATCAATGAAACTGCAATGGGATTATATTTTGCTTCTAGGACAGACTGGTTGAGGAATGTAAGAAGGCTGTGGATGAATTCTATCCAAATACGGGAAAATGTGAAGATTACGGGAGAATCATTAATGAAAGACATCTCAGGTGTGTTTACCTCAGGATCTAACTATGACAGTCTTGTAGTAAGAAAGCGTTATTTGTCAATATATCGTCAGAGGATTTTAAGAAGTTTTATTTTTTATCGTTAAGACGTATTAAGAAGCTGATTGATGGATCTGGGAAGGTGGCCCTGGGAGGAGAAGTTGACGAGGAACAGAAATACATCTCCCCCACGATCCTCACCGACGTCAAAGCCACCGACCCTGTCATGCAGGAGGAGGTAAGTCTGAAGGAAAGAGAGGTTACAAATACTTCTCATGTCAAATGCATGAATTAAGCAGAATTGAAGAAATGATTTTGATAACTGTTTATTACTACATACACTTTCTATAGTGTATAAGTATCAGTATTTTCTATTTGTAAATGTCTTTAAAAAAAATCCTGGGTTTCCTGTAGAAATAAGATTTATTCCTTCAAGAAAAAATTCTTTAGAATGGATGATAAGAAATTCTGCTTTTAAAGCATGAAATCTAGAAACATTTAAAAAAACATATCCTGAAAAGTATGCTCTATTTCTGTGTATTTTGGTTTAGTATGAGTAAATTTATGTTTTATGACAGATATTTGGTCCAGTTCTTCCAATTATGTCTGTTAACAGTGATGAAGAAGCCATTAATTACATCAACAAAGGGTAACAGAAATCTACCTTTATATTTGTCTAAAACTTGCACCTATTACAATCACATTATAAAAGTGTCATTTATAATGTGCATAACAATAGCAACTGATATTTTCTTGTTTTACAGAGAAAAGCCCTTAGCTATGTATGTTTTTTCAAAGGACCACACAGTGGCTGAAAAGTTCTTACAGAACACAAGTAGTGGAGGGTTTGTCTTCAATGACACCATGATGCATGCTGGGTGTAAGTCATTGATTGTGAGCAGGACTCAGTTAGAAACAGTTCTGGTGATTTTAGTATGTACCCGGTACATGTTGTTTTTAGTATGTACATGTACATACACATGTAGTTTTTTTTATTTTTTAAGTAATATTTGTCAAATAAATATCAGAGGGGTACTTATACCTTTTCATTACTCAAGCTGTTGGGTGTGTATATTGATTTGGAATTTCCAGTTTGGATGAAATACTTTGTGTTTTATATGCCATTTTAATTTTGAAATGACTTGATTTCAGTGATGTCCCTGCCATTTGGAGGCGTTGGCTCCAGTGGTATAGGTTCCTATCATGGATTCCGTACCTTTGATACCTTCAGCCACAAAAGAGCAGTTTTGGAAAGGAAACATGGCGGTGAAGCAATGCAATCGTAAGTTCTTACACAGAATATAGATTTTTTCATGAACTTGATGTAACACAATTGGTTTTATTTTAGAAAACACAGAGTTGATTAAGTAGCACATTTTTTTTTACATAATAATTCTTGTTCTGATGAAATTTGTTGCTGCAGTTTCTAAATATAAAGTAATATGTGAAATTCTTTCTAAACACTACCCCTTCAATAAATTTCCCCAGATAGCAATAAGTCTTTAATAGACTTCTTCAAAGAATTCCTTGAATGACTTTTAATCTCATTAAAGATGATACCATAGTTGCTAAGAGTAGAATAATCTTGAAATTCTTTCTAAATGCAATTTCTTCATTAGTTTTGGTCTGGTAAAAAGATAAGATAAGATAATATTTATTTAAAGTCGGGTACATCAACAAAGAACATTAGCTCTGAAGAGCTATTTTCCGACTACGGTTTCATAAGACTAAGGGTACAAATAGTCTACACTGATTTACACAACCTTGTTTTGGCATTTGAGAAAGAGTTGTAGAATTCTGTTGAAATGCTAGTCCCCTACAGCTTTTGATTGATTTCCATATAAATAAATGCACAATTCCAATTCATGTGGAATGGAATCTAAATTTCTAGTCATAAACATTTTCACAATAGTACTATTTGTCAGTTCATTAGATATTTTTTATGTAAAATTTATGTGATGTTCTCAAAAATAAGGAGGGGTGAAATGTACTATGAAATCACTAATTTTCAAGGGGGTTAATTTCGTTGTTTTTGAGGTATGAAGACTCAGGAGACCCATGTATTCATTTCATAATCATCCATTATTTGTTATAATAGTAATCAAGACAAAGCCATATTTCTTCAACAGCAAAATCATTAACCAATATTTTACCTGAAGGTATGTCACTCGTCAGCTTTGTAGAAAAGTTCACGCAGAACCTCTTACTTCAAAACTATTTATTCTAATTCAATTTTTATAACATATTTAAATTCAACAATGTTAATTGTTCAAAGTTCAATGAAAAAACTGCTCAAAAATCCACAAAGAAGCAAGATTTTGGGGGGACTATTTCTTGTGGTGGAAGGATATTTAGCAGAAAATTCTGTAATTCTGCACATTTATTAAATGTAATATCTTGGAAATTAAGCCTCACATACTTTTACTCGTCGAATATTTTCCATTATGATATGCTAGGAATATTTAATATAGGTCTCGATCCATATTTTTAGAACAAATTTTACAACTTCCCTCAACAAACTTTGCCAAGAAATGAAGATATGTTACAAAAGTCAAGATAAAATTTTCACGGTTTTTTGGCTGAAAATCACATATTTTGACCAATATTTCAAAATCAACATCACTGACCTCAACTTTTTCTTTCTTTATTTTAAACAATACTCGATACTTGTGACTGATCAGCACATAAGTCGTAAAAATTTTGATACAAGAAAATACTTTAATGCCTATTTAGATTTTATGTTACTTTTTCAGTGCAAAAAGGTCACACAATAATTTTCGTGCAGTAATTTGGAAGACTTGTTCAATGTGAATATTATTCAAACTATTTTAAGTAAAATAAGATTATATTTATTGCCAATGTTCCATTTGATAAAATATAATAAACTTTAAGGTTAAAATAATTAACCAAAGAGTTAAAATTTAAGTGCAAAAAGGTCAACTTAATTGTACTGTAGCTCAGTAAGATGCACACTGACCCCCTATTTTCTCTGCGATTTTTAGTCATACTATATGAGCACTTATCCAAAATATACTTCTCAAAAAATCCTTGATTTAACAAATGTCAAGAGTGACATACCTTAAATCACAAAAAAGATTTACCCCACAAAAATAAGTGATTTTAAAGTATTATGACATCACCAAAAAAAAAGTCCCCGGGCATTTACAGCATGGATGGAATAGAGCATTTACTAGACTCCCTATTCGCAGATTATTGAGAAATATGTATCAAAATATGCAATAATCATCAGTGTATAACCTCCTTTACACTTGAAATATTACTCTGAACATTTTTTCTGTCCTGACAAAATCTACAGAATTCGATACCCACCCTACACTGAGAAGAAACAGAGTACTATTGCCTGGTTAACCAAGAAGTCACCTAAGTCAGGTGGTCTTCTCTCCTGGCTGGGATTCTAAAAGTCAAATCAGTTCTGGTTGGTAAATTCTGGTAAGTTGTCTTTAGAAGACCACACAAGATGCAGTGTTCTCCAAGATTTCCTCTGTATTTGTTTTAGCTCAATTGAATTCTAATGAGGGCAACAAAAATCTAGAAGATGACTGTATTATATTGTAAACAAAACAAAAAAGTTCCTTGGGATTTTACATGTGTTGATTATTATTATTAATGTTAATCAGTATAGTTTGTTGACACCTTGTCCATTTGATTTGCCCATCTGTCTTCAAACGTTCCTGTCCATATCTAATTCCACGGAGTGTGATCAATGTGTAGCCAAACTTTTATCCACACAAAGATTGCCTTTGACCTAAGGGTGTGTCATTTTTTGACCCAAGGTCATTTGGGGAAGTTCAAGGTCACGGGAAGAAAAAGTTCATAAAAGTTCCGGTCCATATCTGGATGGATAAACTTGGTAGGTTATCATTTCACACAAAGATTGCCCATGACCCAAGGGTGTGTCATGACCTTGACCCAAGGTCATTCAGGGAAGTTCAAGGTCACTGGAATAAAAATTTCATAATTTGTGTCCGGTCCATATCTTTCTTATGGATAAACTTGGTAGGTTCTCATTTCACGCATAGATTGCACATGACCCAAGGGTGTGTCATGACCTTGACCAAAGGTCATTTGGGGAAGTTCAAGGTCACTGGAAGAAAAAGTTCATAATTTGTGTCCGGTCTACATCTTTTTTATGGATAAACTTGGTAGGTTCTCATTCTACACAAGGATTGCCCATGACCCAAGGGTTTGTCATGACCTTGACCCAAGGTCATTTGGGGAAGTTCAAGGTCACTGGAAGAAAAATTTCATAATTCATGTGTGAAACATATCTTTGTTATGGAAAAATTTACTTCTGAAAAAACCTAGCGGGGGGTATTTTGTCCCATTTGGACAGTTCTAGTTATCAATGTTAATCAGTATAGTTGTTGACAAGATTTGATTTGCCCTCATGAATTCAAGCAGCTTCCTGTTATTTTAATTTATTGATTTTCAAATTGGCTTTTTAATAAGAGAAAATTTTTGTTAACTTTTAACCATGTGAAGTCTAAATATCCTTAAATAAAAGCTTGACTGCACATTGGATTGTTGAAACGAGCACAGACCTGAGCAGTGCTTCTAATTAGGTTTGTAACTGTCTATGGAAATTTATAAGGTTAACCAGTCTCATATACTGCAAGGTGAAGAGGCTCACCGCTTCTTGTGAGATAACTCAGATTGATCAACACAACTTTTTTCTAGACAGTAAACAACGAACCTAAATTTACTGATTTATTTTCTTGAGTACCATAAGATGAGAAGCATATACAGAAGAACTGATAATTCTTAATAAAAAGATGTTAAGCAGCAGCCATATTGCTGGATGAATATTCTCATCTGCCTCACTCAGAAACATGGTGGCAGACACGTATATCACATTTCAACCAATGAAAATGCCATGCTTCAGTCTAAGGAAAATAAAATAATGCCTTTAGCCTTGACAGGTCTGTTGCTCAATGCTATGAATATAGTGCCATATTTATATCCTCAGCCTCAAAAAGAGTTCCAGAAGCAGACAATATATTTGCTGCCTCTAAATTTACAATTTTTGATAATACCTTTAAAGTAAAGCTAGTAGCTAATGTGTTTTTCCCTCTCTATGCAGAATTCGGTACCCTCCATATTCAGAGAAAAAAGGGAGCATTGTTTCATGGATCATGAGGAAATCACCCAAAAAATCTGGTTTACGAACCTTGATTCCCTATTTCTTGTTCGGAACTATTTTTGCTGTACTATTCAAGGTAATAGATGTAAAAAGGCAGATTTTACCAATTGAAATGAAATGTTGTTTGATTAGTATTATATTCTGCATGGTACTGAAATTCTGCTGAAATATCACAAAATATTGGCCTGTCAGCTTATATAATTTTATCCATTTGTTTTTTTGATACACAATGCTGCCTTTTTTTAAATATCTTTATAAATATCCATATTGAATTACATTATCCATTCATGATTACTCCTTACATCTAGGTCTGTAAACACGCATTTCCTACCTATTACTGTAAACCAACTTTTATTTGTGTGTGAGCAATATTCATGAGTTTCGCAACTTACTCTAACTCGGGTATACATATATTAAAGGCCATGAACCATTCATTTAGGTTCGTGTTTGTAGTGAATATTTTATCAGTCACATAAATTAATCTTTGTGGATTAATTTCAAACTGAAGTATCATGGTTAAAAGATGAAAAGATGATGCAAATAATGATTGGTTTACAGTATTGCCTACAATCACTGAAGCGGCAAATAATGATTGGTTTACAGTATTGCCTACAATCATTGAAGCGGCAAATAATGATTGGTTTACAGTATTGCCTACAATCACTGAAGCAGCAACGCACTGAATATATTTGGAAAAGTCTTAGATATTTCTAGTAATTTAAAAGAATATCAATGTTTGCTTCTGATATAAATTAATTGTTTTGAAATGTTATGTTTTTCATATAGCATTTATATATGTCAACATATAAATTAATCTATGCTTCTTACTTCTTTGAGAGATAAATTATAGTAACTTCTTATCTTATTCTGTATTTCAGACTTATGGACTTCACAATAAACTTCCATCTCTGCATTAAAAGTTAAAAATTCTCTCAGCTATCTCTTTACATGACATGTTTTCATAAGAATGAAAAAAAAAAACATATACGTACTTTGACTTTATCATAATATATGTACTACTAAATTGTGTACACATTTAGCTAAAAGTATTTTTGAGTAAAAATATTTTATATATCTCTGTGATACTTTCTGAAATATGTTGAAAGTATTGAACTTTTAAATAACATCCAATATTTGTATAATTGGAGAAAAAATATATGTATGCTTCTATGCACATACTCTGATTCTGATTAGGATAAACTACATGTAGTATTTTTGTTGATTAATACATCATTTTGTGTATTTTTATTTATTGATTTTGCATGTATTTTTTTCATGATTCATATTAATATGATGCTTATAGTTATATTTGATGGCTGTCAAAACTAGTAAATTTTGTTTTTGAATAATGTATCATGATGCAAGATATATTAGGCATTAGGTCTGAGGAACTGAAAACATGATTTCAATATTTGTTCAGTTTTTGCCTCTAGTAAATTATTTAAAATTATGTTTTGATCCCAAATGAATTTTAAAAAAAGAAAACAGAATGAAACAAATCATTGGTAGATTGGCACCTCCTATGTCACTATAGATGATGTTAACATTCAATGTCCAAAATGTAAAGTCATTTTTACTTAAATATCAAATTGTATGTGCAGATTATGGACATCAGAAACCATTGTCACTTTTCATGTATTATACATGTATTTCAAATGCTGGAGTTACTTCCCTATAGTAATTTGGCAGGAAAATGCTATTTTTAGAAATTATATACCCATACCTATCAAAAGAGTATATGACTATTATGAGATGAGATGTATGCCTTACCATGCATCATTTTGTGGTCAACTGTACATCTAAAGATACCTTAATAAATATTTTGGATAAGATAAGATGAATCCTTTCTTGTATTAGTGTTACAGTGAGCAGCTCAAACTGATGACAATCGTCACATTCTATTAATCGACCACTCTCTACTATTTCAAGTCCTGATCATGTCTAATAACTTCTTTCTGGGCATTAGCCATTAATTATAAGCCTTAAACAGTATTGTATAAGAAACCACTTGCTTCATTCTTTGAGCAACACACATTACATACATATATATGTGTAAAATAGTAAATTTTGAACCTCTGACAATTTTGAGTAAGGCAGGCTACTTTTTTTTTTTATCTGAGTATCATCGTCTGTATAAGCAGAATTTTTAGCGAGGATTTAATTTTGGCATGATTAGTGAGGGTGGTGAGATCGCTAAAATTGAATTTCGCAAAAAATTAATTGCGTTTTAATTATAATGGCTTCTTTAGTGAGCTTTTTAATATCGCTAAAATTACTTCTTGCTAAATATAAAATTCTCATTTTTAAGGACAAATCGCTAATTTAGCGTCTCGCTAAAATTTCCACTTATACGGTATATCTTTAATTGGCTTTTATAAATAAATTTATTTGATTTCATAAGTATCATCGGAAATGTCATTTATAAATTTACTTTATTAATGTATTTAAAGATGATTTTCATACATTGTTTAGAGCTTCGGAATATTCCTATATTTCACATAACATGTATTTATTTTTTTCCCCTTACTCCTCAGTATTTTACATTTGTACATAAAATAGGTTTTTGAAAATGGCCACTACATGAAAATGAATTTACTGTACCTCATATGTCTGTGTAATTATGTGGAATTATAAGAATTGTTGATGAAATAAATATTGAAGGATCTTGTGCATAGATTATTTATAAACTATCTACAAGGTTGATTTAAAACTAGACACTTCAGTGACTTCACACGAAGCTAGTGGAATCAGATGGCATCACCAGATTTGTCGCCATTAAGGGATTCACCTGAGCCACTCACGTGACCTGTCTAACTGTTTGTCGTCATTCTTCGTTCATTGTCTGTCGAGCGTAAACTTTTGAACATTTTCGGCTTATTCTCTAGAACCACTGATCCGATATCAACCAAATTTTCATAAAGCATCTATGGGTGAAGAGGGACAGATAACTGCAACTTTATTTTGCAAATTCTGTGGTCAGCACAGTCATATTTTGTCACATATAATCGATAGGTCGAATATTGACTGAAGTCATTCAAATTCGCAAGCCATGATTATTATACACTACCCTCCCCGGACTTGAAAAATGGGATGGTATATAGTGATCTTGATGTTCGTCTAGCTGTACATCCGTCTGTTACGCTTTGGGGTACCCATCTCTTATCCTCAACTCCTCTTATATCACTGAATGAAATTAAGACTTGCACAGAATCTTTGTTACATAGTGCCATTGTGTACCTTCTATTTTACTTTTTGATCGGACACATATTTCGGATTTCCAATAGCAAATCATGGGCATTGCCATTTTTTCTATAATTGTAATATTTCAATTTCTTTTCTGCAACTCCTCTTATACCACTGATTGAAATTTATTGATACTTTCACAGATTCTTTATTACACAATGTCATTGTAGTGCACCTCTTTTTTTCCTTTTTGATTTGAGGCATTTCGGGTCTCCCGGAGCAAACATGAATTTACCATGAAGGACATGGAGATAACGAACAGTATTCAATATAAAACAATACGAAATAGGATCAGAGCAAACACGGACCTCCAAAACATCAGAGGTGGGATCAGGTGCCATGGAGGAGTGAGCATCCCCTGCCGACCGGTCATATCCGCCGTGTGCTCCAGGTCATGATCGGGAAATAATGGTAAAATCTGTTGTCAATTCAGTGTTTAAATAATGGATTAACAATTAGTATGAAAAACGTCAGTCAGCATTTGACTCGATGATAAATTTGCTAATGATAATGTATTTGCTGACAAGGTCATGGTATCGACCATAGAACTTACGTATTGATGACTTTAAACGAGACTGCTGAGTCTTGTTAAATCAACTTGTTTTTTAACAATTTACCTCGTTCTAGAAATTGTTCTTACGTAGAGCACATTATAATCATATGGGAGGTGGGGTGTAATCATCTAGTGGGCTCAGTACTCTAGTTTACTCTAAATTTGTTTTCAATACTTGATCATGACAAAGGGCAAACGGAAGGTGAGTCTGGTGGACTGAGGATGCTTACTCTTTCCTGGCACCTGGTGGCTGATTCCACCTCGGATGTTTTCCTCATACATACTTTACAAAAGCAAAGGGTAGGTTCTATTCTTAAAGGTCACCAATTTTAAACGGTAAAAGTAAAAGGGATAAAACTGGAATTGAGCCTTGCATACTGCATAAACTAATTCAGTGTTTGGTTCTTTAATAATTTTTTTAATTGTTTGAAATCAGTTACCTTTGTCCAGAAGCGTATTAGGGCCATAGCAGTATCTTTTATTAATTTGTTATATACAACAAATTATCTATTTGATTTAACACATTATTTATTTGTTATAATAAATTACTTATTATAACATTTATCAGTTTGATATACTAGTCATGTTATAATATATCACTATTTTTTGACATTTGAAGGTGTATACAGATCTGTGGAATCCTAATCAGATCAGAAATCTTCTAAAAAAGTTGAATACTTGAAAAAATAAGTGTAAGCCGTACAGAGATTTTGACCAATATCTTTCTTGTAGCACCTTGGAGTTATCAATTTCATGATACAATACAACAAAATCCTTAATTGGTTCCATTCCAAATATTCTTATGAGCTTTGTAGCAACCGCTAATGATATAGCACCGCTTAATGATAGAAAATAGGTAAAGTGAAACATATGGAGATAACGAACAGTATTCAAGATAAAAAGTTCACAAAAAATACAAAATAGGAGTTGAGCAAACACGGACCTCCAAAACATCAGAGGTGGGATCAGGTGCCATGAAGGAGTGAGCATCCCCTGCTGACCGGTCACACCCATCGTGTGCACCTTGTCATGATCGGGATAAACGGAAAAAATCTGTCGTCAATTCAGTGTGTAAAAATAATGGACTACAATTAGTATGAAAAACGTCAGTCAGCATTTGACTCAATCATGTCAATGATAAATTGTATTTGCTGACAAGGCCGGGGTATTGTTCATAGAACGTACGAAATGATGACTCTGAACGAGACTGGTGATATTCTTGTTTCATCAGCTTGTTTGTCAAAAATTTACCTCGTTTTAGAAATTGTTCATATGTAGAGCATGCTCTTGCGTATCGAATAAACTGAGATAATTATATAAACTCTGTATGCAGGTGATGAAGGTACATGTATATATTGCTGCATAAGCAAGGGTAGTTCATGGTTGTAAAGTTAAAGTCATCATATTCGTCATAGAGATTGGTTGTTAGATTACCATTAATTTCTTTTTTCAAGTAAAATATTCAAATATGAAACAGATGTGTCAGACTCTGTGGTATCTTAAAATCCCAAGCTCACCGGGATATATCGTATCGACATAAGAATGAAAATTGCCATTGTTAATTGACAATACATCGTCGATACATCTAAATGTCGGGTTGAAGGCAACAATAAGTGTTTTCTTCTTTTCACCTATAAGATTTTGCACAGATTCTGCTTCTTATGAATACAAAATAGGTCTGCTAGTAACTTGGCGCAATTGACACACATGGGAATTCCAATATTTTTGAAAGACCTGGCCTCACATAGGTATTGTCAATCAGAAACTCAAGCATGTTTTTGATGTCAACTTCAGAGTACTTGTGTACACAATCAGAAAGTTTTATTTAACAAAAAAAAATTGCAAATGACTAATGACAAGGTAAGTAAATTTACGAGTTCCATTTTCATTGAAAAGGTGGCTGTCCTCTTATACCTCTGAATGAAATTAAATGGGACTTTCACAGAATCTTTGTTACATATTGCCATTGTGAATCTCCTATTTTTCTTTTTGATCACACGAGGGGTATCATTTAGTGAGTTCGATCAGTGCTCACAGTTCCTCTACTTCAACCTAAAATTAACCAATGACAATATCATGTTCACCGTATCTTTCTTTAACGGTGTTAATCTTATCTTTCTTACTCTCTATGCAGTAAATGCCAAAGTGCCATGACATTTTGTGTAGAGGTCGCTTTTTGATGAGATTATTCCGAATCTGCCACCACTCTCAAACTGTATTAGATTCGAAACATCTACACCTTGCTAAATAGAAATTAAATGTAGTGTTTTAAGTGAATATAGTCCTTTGAAATCGAAACAAAGAATATATAATAATATTGTTACTTAATGTGTCCTTGTAGAGATATGCGCCCTGTGTCTATGAACGGCAATTTCTTTTGATATAGTAGTGCAATTTTTGTCGATGTGTTCAATTACAGATAAGTTATTGTCATGAACAACAGACAGACATCTGTTTTCTTTCTTTTCTTTTATTTACTTGGATCATGTGAATCTTTTTTAGGTAAGTAATAATATAAACACAGCACCTGCTCATAATTTGTATGTTTTTTTTTAAATTAAACTAATCTAATTTTTTGCTTATTGTTCATTTTGAAAGCATTGACAATGGTCACTTTGCAAACATAAATTATTTCATGATAAAATGTTATTCGCAGTTATGTCTTTAAAATTAAACTAAAATCGTTTTTTCAAGTACAAATGATGATTACTTAGTTAATCATTTTAACATATTTTAACGTATTCCAGTAACTCTATCAAGAATTCTTTAAACATTTAGCACCTTTAGAAGCTTTATCAGATAATAAATTTAATATATTAATTCTACAGATCCTAAAGACCTGGTAAAGAATTGCGTATAAATGTATGCTAAAGCTGGCCATTTTTATTTCAGTGACATTAAATTACCCACCTGCAATTCAAATACAGCCAGATCTTGATGTTTATTACAAAGATGGCGAATCTCTGACACTGCCCTGTATGGCTACTGGATTCCCAGCTCCGACGTATGTCAGTTTAGCTCATTATTACTCGGATTTAATGCATTTAAAACCGTGTTTTTAGAGAGAGAGAAAATGTATTATCATGTAATTTTCATAGTTTTAAATGGAAGAGGAACGGCCTGGAACTGGATTATTCCGATGGCAGATTTGTCATGGTTCCTGGAGAGGGCAGCCTTATCATAAGCTACACAGAAGAGAGAGACGAAGGAGTATTCCAATGCTTAGCTGAAAATGAATTTGGAACATCAGCTTCCATCAATGTGAATCTGAGGTATCATTATGATGATAACGTTTTCTGTATTAATTGACTCATTTGTGGATCACCCAATTTCTGTTAAAGATACAATGTCAAAGACTTTGTGTATAAATTGTAGACAAACATTTTTCAAAGAACTGTCAGGGTCATTCTCAAACAGCCCTTCTACCCAAAATTAATTTCATATAACGTGTAATATGATGATAACGAACAGTGAACAATCTCAAAGATCCAGTAAAATAAACAGGGCAAATTCAGACCTCTGGAAACAACAGAGATGGGATCAGGTATCTTGAAGGAGTAAGTGTCCCGTGTTTACCCTCTCAAACAAACCAGGAGCCCTATATATTGATCAAGTCGATGGAGTAATCCGTAGTCAAACTTATTTAACAAATATAACTTCACAAAATAATCCGAAAAAATGTTCGGCTAGCTAAGAGCAACAACAGGTTGTATTCAAGAACAAGATTATTAAAACAGCCGTGGAAACGGCAAAAAGCTTTAAACTGAATTGTTGAAATTCTTGAAACATCTACTTATTTGTCAATGAGAGTTTAAAAATTGATCAGAACATGCTTTTGCATATCGAATCAGTATTGAGACAAAAAAAATCATATAATAATAACGTAATTATGGAATATTCTACTTTTAAAAATGAAAGTTGGTGTTTGGAAAGCTGTTCATCTCATTTGTTATAAATATTTTTTATTAGTTAGTCTTTATCGTCTTTTGTCAAAGAAATCCAAATATGAAATAGATATGGCAGACTAAATGGTGTCCCTTATCTGGATTTCATTGGTTGTATCTAGTTGATGTGTAAATAAAATAATGTTTGTTAATTGATAAAAATTCGCATTTTTATAAAACTACGTAAAAACTACGTAAATTATTATATCATTAATGCATGCATTACCTTAATGGAAGAGCCATGAAACAAATATATTTCACTCCTTAGATATACATTATCTGCTTTTTACAAAAAAGTCTTAATTAGAATATTAATTAGTTGTAGTTTTTAATTGTTTGTTGAACATCAATTGACTTTTTAAAAGAAACTAGAGGTGCTGCGAGCACCCAGCTCACAATTAAATGATACCACGCTTCCTCATGATAATAATGGTAAAGTTACATTATTTGGCAGTTCAGAAAAAAAACAACATCTAAATATAAGTCCAATTTAAAGTATACAATGAATTTATGTAATTACATTTGATATAGAAGGAGTTTCGAATAAGAAATAGTAATCCTCGATGTAAAAGAATTGGAGTGTCCATGTTCTGCTATAAATATGGTGAAGATTCATCTAAAAAAAATCTACAATCATTAAAAATGTGTGAAAAAAGCTTTAAATATGGAACTCCAGAAATTCTAAAAATAGGATCAGGTGCATAGGAGGAGTAAGCATTGTCAGGTGACCGGTCACACCGATCAAAATGTAAAAAAAAAGGAGATGCACAATGCCACTTTCTGATAAAGATTTATTTAAAATGATTAAAATGTTAAAAGGAGATGCATACTGTCACTTTCTGATAAAGATTGTTAATTAAAAGTATCATTTAATGATCGAAATGTAAAAAAAAAAAGAAGATGTAATCTCCTTTTACCGGATATTTCATTGCAAATAAATTAAAGATCGGCTATATTAGTGAGATTCCCCTTACTATTTAAGAAAGACTATAATTATATTCTACTCGGAAGAAGCTATGTACACGTCTATGTATATCGCAGGCAGTTTTTTTCGGGGAGGGGAAAGATTTACCAAATAGTAAGTCCTCTCCTAAAACTCTCACTGAATAAACTAAAAATGTTTCTCATAGGGAGGAAAATCTCCCTATACAACACTGGTGATACATTATATTATCTATTTAAATAAAGGATGGGGAGGTTGAATGATTTTGCCGCGGCGTCACCGATAGCCTTCAGTCCCCACCTTGGCGAGTCCCTCACGCTGAACTGTGTACCACCTCTCAGTGTTCCCAGGGCGGAGGTGGAATGGATCCTGACCTCCAGTGATGGAAGTGTAGAACCTGTTACTTATGACAACAGGGTCACAAAGGATTACGAAGGTCTGTCGCTAATGCTTCTATTTCTACAAAGTAAATATTTTTACCCTGACTTCATATGCTTCATTTAATGTCAAGCTATTTTATCACATTTGAATTAATGGACAAAAAATTTTCAGGAAATATTTTAGGCATTTATTACAAATGATACATTTGTAAGACAATTGTAATCTGTGTCATGAAGAATTTATTAGTACGCCATCAATCCATCAATGATGAATAAACATAATTATTGTTGGGGCTACACCTTATTGTAATCAGCAGCTAAATTCATGTTGCTGTGGAAAGGGGCTTATTTTTAATCGTGGATATTTTAATCATCTTTGAAAGAGTTAAAAATGATTTCTAACTTGTAAGCAAAGTCAATGAAATATATTCTATAAATGTTTAATCTTCAATAAATGTTCAAGAAATGTTTAACTTTAAAACATAATAACATTACTGTAAGAAACAAGTGAGTGAGAACACTGACAATCTTATTTCTCCTTCGCAGGTCGGTTACACATCACTAACGTACAACAAGAAGACTACCAGAATGGTAAAGCCTACAGATGCATGGTTACCAATTTCTTCCTGAGAAAAAATACATACGGCAAAGCCATTCACATTATCCCCACAGGAAGTGAGTACATGTAATGAAAATGTGGAGATAATAAAGAGTATTCAGATTTTAAGTTCTTTCAGACAATATAAATCTGGAGCTGAGCTAACAAATAGTATGAAAATCTTCAGTCAGAATTCGTCTTAATTATACAGTGTAGTTGTATTTGTTGACAAGGTCATTGTATCGACCAAAGAACTTGCAACATGATGCTTTTTAAATAAGAAATAAGAATTCATTTTTAATCAACTTATTTTTCAATAAGCTTGCCTCGATCGTTTAAGAAATTGCTCTATCGTATCAAATCAACTGAGAAACTTAAATCCCTGATGCAGCAAGATGCCATTGCTTCATAAGTAAGGAAAGTTTATCATACAGTTTTTTTTAGCAACGAGTGTTAGCTTAGTTAAAAAAAAATATTTTTCATGCTAAAAACCATGACTATTAGTTGGATATGGATCTACATGAAAAAACTAAATTTATCGTATTTCTTTTACTTCTGATTTTAGATTTACCTTTGCTGAGACCCGCCCAGTATCTATGGACTTCGCCTTCTGATGTTTTAGGTCTTAGAGGAGAGACACTGCAACTCAAATGTATATTCAGCGGAAAGTAAGATAAATTATAATTCATTTTATTCTAACACACATTTTTGTCTTTTTCAAAGAAAGGAAATCAAAAATAAAAAGTAATATTTCTGGGGGAAAATGACATTCAAGATAATATAAGATAAAAAAAATCTGAATGTTTAATGTACAGTGTATTTATTTTATTTAGAAACTTAAAATAAAAAAAGAATTCTTACATGATTTTACTTACACAAATGTCTGTTTGAACCATTCTTTGATTTGCATACAAAGAATTAAATGCTGTTTTTAATGATGTCAGAGATTTTAATTTTTAGCCCCACCCCGGAAGTGATTTGGTCAAAGAACTATGACGTCCTTCCACATGACTATAACGTGTCTCTCGGGGGACAGGAACTGACCATGACTAATGTAACTGAGAGGGACGCTGGGTCTTACCAATGCTATGGCTCCAACACAAACGGGTCTCTCGCATACAGGGATATTGTTGTCCGGGTGGAATGTAATGAACACTAAGCTTTGTGTGTAATTTGAATCAAAAATTTGTTTTCTATTTGCAAGAAGGAGAAAAATATTTGACAAATACCTATGGGCATTTTTAAAAAAAAATATGTATGAAATGTCAGTATGATGAATAATTTTAGCTTTAATATTTCCATTGACTTCTTAATGTTTAAATTGACAACAATTCTTTAGCTAAGCCATACTGGGACATTGAACCACAGGATAAAAATACAAACACTGGGGCAACTGTGACCTTCATGTGTAAGGCCAAAGGTTATCCTGAGCCAGTCATTCAATGGTTCGTCAATGGAGTCAAACTTGAGGGTAATTTAAAGTGATTAAGTACAGTTTTGTAAAGGATACATTTCTTCTTTTTTCCCCGGTTGTGACAAGGAGTACTGGTCAACATGGGATGCTTACTCCTACATTTCACTTGATCCCACCTCTGATGTTTTAATGGTCCGTATTTGTTCTGTGTTTAAATGACCTTTTTGGTCTTAGTAGTGTTCGTTTCTTGATATTCTTTTTATTTGATGTTCGTATTTTCTCATCTTTATTTAATACTCATAGAATCGCAAAAGCCAATTTTACACAGCCACCGGTTTTTGAATCCTGATGCCAACAACGTGACATTTGTCAATGTTAACAACCATGATAAAATGGTCTTGCAGTGCAATGCCTCTAACATTCACGGTTATGTGTTCGCGGATTTTTATCTTAACATTCTTGCTGGTAAGATCATTTTGCTTGCATGTATTAAGTATAAAATTATGATTCACTCTTTAATAAGGGTCGAATTTTATTGTTTATCACTTGTTTTACGTCTCTTTTGCAAAATTAACATAGTCTTGTGATAACATTTAAATGTCCTAAAATAGGTGTAAGTATACTGTTGTATAATGGTTTTTTTTATTATCTGTTATATATATTTTAGATTAATTGAAGACGCTGGCGTTGCAGAGTATGTAAAAAATATTTCAACGACTGTATCAGGAAACTTTTTGAATTTACTTAATAAAATTAAATCTTTACTGAAAGAAAGTCATGGTTGAAAAGATGAATGTTTTTTTCTTATTTGATTAAACATCTGATATAAATTATATTTTACCAATAATCAAACGCACTCATTCTGAATTGTACATACCAAGGAATGCTGTGCAACGTCAGAAAAAGACTGTACATTGTAATAAAACTCCTTTGTACAGCTAACCTTCGCTGTTTAGCCTGCGTGATTACAAGATAACCAATTTTTTGAAGTTATTTAAAAAAAAACTAGTATTCTCAAATAGATATATGTCAAAACCAGCCCCATGTGTTTCTTTTTGGTATTGTTACTTATACGATAAATACATACTGATGATGATGAATAAAGAGTAATTGTGTATATTATGACGAATTTAGTACTAGGTTTTATATATCAGTTTTTCATTGCTTGGTTCTTTCAGAGAACCTACACGTTAGTTGAAAATCTAGCAATCTTTCCATGGAAAAAAACTGGATTCATATCCCGATGACCTTGAGATTAAAGACACTACAGAGTCTGACACATCTCTTTCATATTTCAATGGATATTTTACTTTAATGGTAATTTTACGTTAATGGTAATCTAACAAACAAGCCATATGATAATCGTTATGACTTTTACTTTTCAATCGTCAACTTTCCTTACTTATGGAGGAATATACCTTCATCACCTGCATTCAGGGTTTATATATCTCAGTTGATTCGATACAAAGCCAAAATGAATCTGAATAACCATATATATTTAATGGATTCCGAAACTTCATAAAAATCATTACAAACAAAGATACATAGCGGGTTCCAATAAATATACAACCAAGCCTCTTTCATTACTCCTCACTAACATATTAATTTGTTATACATTAACATATTAACATATTAACAGTAGTGAAGGAGAAACTTAAGAATACCATGCAAGTGTTGTAAATCAGATGTGTATACTTAAAAATTCCAAGGAACTTTTTGGAGAATTTGAAATCTGAAATCTCAAGATGTTACCAAACTCAACAGTTAAAAACTTAATACTTTTTAACTTTATACTCAACCATTCCTCATGATAAATTAAAGTCCAGTCATTTTGATATCATTGACAGCTTTTTTTTTTTTTTTTTTTTTAAAATAAAAATGGAACCCGTGAATTTACTTACTTTGTCATTGGTCGTTTGCAAAATTTCGTTAAAACATTCTGATTGTACACACAAGTATTTTGAAATTGACATTAAAAAGATGCTTTCGGTTTCTGATTGACAATATCAATGTGTGAGACCAGGTCTTCTAACAATCTACTGGAATTCCCACTGGTACCAATTCGCCCCGTTATTAGCAGACCTATTTTTGTATTCATAAAAAGCAGAATTTGTGCAAAATCTTTTACGCGAAAAGAAGAAAACACTTGTTGTGGCCTTCAACTCAACATTTAGATATATCGACGACATATTGTCAATTATTAACAATTGTAATTTCCATTCCTATGTCGATACTATATACCGTGATGAGTTTGAGATAAAAGATACCACAGAGTCTGACATATCTGTTTCATACTTGGATATTTTACTTGAAAATGACGTTAATGGTCATCTAACAATCAAGCTTTATGATAAACGTGATGATTTTAACTATCGTCAACTCCCTTTACTTATGCAGCAATATACCTTCATCACCTGCATACGGCGTTTATATATCTCGGTTGATTCGATACGCTAAAGCATGCTCTACGTATGAACAATTTCTAAAACGAGGTAAATTTGTGACAAACAAGTTGATGAAACAAGTATATCAGCAGTCTCGTTTAAAGTCATCATTTTGTAAATTCTTTGGTCGATACAATGACCTTGTCAGCGAATACAATTTATCATTGAGTCAAATGACGTTTTTCATACTAATTGTTAGTCCATTATTTATACACTGAATTTACGACGGATTTTTCCTTTATTTCCCGATCATGACAAGAAGCACACGGCGGATGTGACCGGTCAGCAGGGGATGTTCACTCCTCCATAGCACCTGATCCCACCTCTGATGTTTTAGAGGTCCGTGTTCGTTCTGCTCCTATTTTGTATTGTATGGACTTTGATATTGAATACTGTTCGTGATCTCCATATTAACATATCCTTCATTCCATTCTTATGTCGATAGGATATATCCCGGTGAGTCTGAGATAAATGATACTACATAGTCTGACACATCTGTTTCATGTTTAGATACTTTACTTGAAAAAGACATTAATGGTAATCTAACAACCAAGCTCTATGATAAACGTGATGACTTTTCAATCGTTAACTAACTTATGAAGCAATATACATTGAATCACCTGCATACAGAGTTTATATCTCTCAGTTGATTCATTACCCAAGACCATGTTCTACGTATGAACAATTTCTAAAACGAGATAAGTTATTGACAAACAAGTTGATGAAACAAGAATATCATCAGTCTCGTTTAAAGTCATCATTTCGTAAGTTTCATGGTCGATACAATCACCTTGTCAGCAAATTCCAGTTTTCATTCAGTCAAATGCTAACTAATTTTTTTCCATACTGATTGTTAGGCTATTATTTAGACACTCTATTGTACACGGATTTTTTTACTTTATTTCCCGAACATGACAAGAGCAACACGGCGGATGTGATCGGTCAGGGATTCTCACTCCTCCATGGCACCTGATCCTGCCTCTGATGTTTTGAAGGTCCATGCTTGCTCTGCTCCTATATTGTAATGTTTGATGGAGTTTTCAGCTCGAATACTGTTCGTTATCTCCATATATTATACTTTCTGAATAATGAAGCCACGCCCTCCAGCGTAGCAACAGTCAACAGTGCTTGACGACGGGTGATATTCCAAGATATAGCGACTGCGCAGAATTTATGCGCGCACGGTTCACTGTTATATGTATTTGTATAAAACATTCTGTATAATATAATAAATATTGCATGTAGTTGAGTGTAACATTGAAAATTTTCACCCCTCGAAAACCATTGTCAATCTCGACTGCGCCTCGGTTGACAATGGTTTTCTTGGGGTGAAAATTTTCAATGTTACACTCGACTACATGCAATATTTGGAAGACAGAATCGTCTTCAGTTTTTTAAAACTAAAGTTAGAGCACATGGATATTTCACCTTAAAATGCGAATTACAGTATAATGTTTTACTAGTTTTCATCACTTTCCAATCAGTGAAAAACTGCATATTATATGATTTGCATTTTGTTTTTTTATCTTTCTAAAATGATTCTTTACTCAATATCTTAAACACATAATCCTCTTTGTCAGAGTTTGCAAGTCAGGTAAGAATATTCAAAATATGCAAAATAGTCATTAATTTCCCGTATCTTTTGCTCATCGGGTTTCATTGAAATACTAGTATTCAAAATAATTATAACATAATATCAAATTTTAATGCAACAAACTGTATACAGTTTGTCATCTTGTATAAAAACTTAAATATATTGATCACAATTACGTTTTTTATGACTAAATTTTACTGCATGCAATTTATCGTAAAATAATGTTTTGACAAATCAACTCTCTTGAAAATGAAATGCATGTATGTATATTATATTTTTGTTTCTTTTAATATCATGTTTATATAAACAAAGAAATTTAATAATATAAGTGAAGAAGCTATAAAGACTTTCGTAAACCTTCGGGTTTTCATAACTTCAAAAAAGTAATATATATACCTAAGTATATAAATGTTTAATTAAGAAAAATATAATTGAGGGGAAAACTGTAAATTTGTCAGCCCTCAGTAAAAAAGTTTGCTCCTTCCGTGGAATCCCCTGAAGTTATTGGACATAAGATGAAATGATCACCTCCGTCATCCCACGTGGTAGGTTCTAATGTTGACAGCATAAAGTTTGCCGTGTTGTTTTCATAAATATGGCCAAAGACAAGGACTCGAATGTATACCCAAGACAGCATAACTTGAACAGTCATAGAAGTGGAGAAAGTTATGGAACCATCCGTCATGAGTTTGAAATCTTAAAAATAAAAAGGAGTCTCATTCTGCAAAGAATGCAGATTTCATTATTTTTAAAAAACACTATTTTTTTAAATAAAGAATTATTCCCTCTGATTACTCAAATTTTTTCCTCTAAATACAAGCATGAATTCATATTGCAACTATAAAACATATACCGGGTATAAAGAACTGCATGCAGTCTAAAGATTATAAGTAAGAGTGGTTCTGCATTGCTCTGCTCATAGCACAGGCACAAGTAACTCCGTAAGACTACCTGTAATGGTGTCACCAACTGCACCATCTAAACAAACAGCGGCATCTGGTGGACATTGACATCCTCTAGATTTAACGACCCAACGGACCTTCTCACCAGAAGTAAGCACAGCCTTTATATCCTTGAAAGACCTTAACCGTTCCTGGTCCTTGCTTTGTCTAACCCAAATACTACCAAAGATAGACATTATGAAAAGTATTTATTCCACAATTTGCTGTTGGGAAAAAAAGATATTTTAAGTAATTTTGTAAGCACGTTTAACTGAACAAATCTATCTAGATTGTAGCGACAGGTCAAAACACCTCTTCCTTTATCATTATTTTGAATAATATAAAAGCGCATATGTTAAATTTAGCTCTTTGATTTCACTGCATGAGAAATAGAAATTCATACTTTCCGTTTCCTCTTGTCCAATTGCAGTTTACTCCGTCAAAATCGGAAGTATTATTCACAAAGAAGCCAGGTCTTCCCCAGAATATAGAGGCAGTATCATTGATGATATATATGGATTGTATTTCTTCATTTAATTCTAAAAAAGTATATTTATTGAAAATTACATGATATATAGGAACAAAAAATGATGCTTTTGTACACATTTGAGTTTCACCGCTTTGCCTACATTCATTCTAACTCATTTGAGCATTAAAATGAGGTTTTCACCACATTTCCTCTACCTGCATCATCCAAGAATACAATTAAGTATGATTCATAAATACTTCTAATTCATCACGTTTTTCTCTCGTCTACCATTTTTTCCATGCCAGTTTGTCTCTATTTATTATAATAAGGACTTCTACACACTATACACATACCTTTTAAACGTAATAACACCACAGAAACGAACGTTTGGTTCAAGAAGCGGACCGTACCGTTCACATTTAGCGAAACAAACTGTGCAGGAACCAAAACAAATAGTGCATGAAGCAAAACGAATCGTGCACGATTAAACCCGAACCATTCCGTTCAAAAAAGAGCTGTACCGCTCAAAAATTGATTCTTACCTCTCATCAAACAAAACGTATCGTACAAAGAGAGCGAAATATACCTTACCGTGAAGGTGTTATAGCATATATGCTCTAGGGATGACATAGTGTTAATCATTTTAATCAAAAAAAAAAAAAAAACACACACAGTAGCATTGTTATAAAGATTCCACAGAGTCTGACACATTCATCTGTTTCATACTTGGATATTTTACTTGAAAAAGACGTTAATGGTAATCTAACAACCAAGCTTTATGATAAACGTGATGACTTAAACTTTTCAACGGTCAACTTCTCTTACTTATGCAACAATATACCTTCATCACCTGCAAAGGGCGTTTATATATCAGTTGATTCGGTATTCAAGAGCATGCTCAACGTATGAATAATTTCTTAAACGAGGTAAATTATTGACAAACAAGTTGACGAAACAAGAATATCATCAGTCTCGTTTAAAGTCAACATTTCGTAAGTTCTTTAGTCGATACAATGACCTTGTCAGCAAATACTAGTACATTTTATCATTGAGTCAAATGCTGATTGACGTCTTTAATTCATACTAATTGTTAGTCCATTATTTATACACTGAATTGAAAACGGATTTTCCCGTTATTTCCTGATCATGACAAGGAGCACACGGCGGGTGTGACCGGTCAGCAGGGGATGCTCATTCCTCCATGGCACCTGATCCCACCTCTGATGTTTTAGAGGTCCGTGTTTTCTCTGCTCCTATTTTGTATTTTTTATGGACTTTAATATTGAATACTGTTCGTTATCTCCATATCCTTCATTTGAGAACAGTGGAATCTAAAGTAAGATACCATTTGGCTTTTCATCGATGTATCGGACTCTGCTGAAGATCGTTTGTCCAGGGTTTTCCTCCGATTTGCTCAGAGATAAAAATAGATTCAGTTCCCCACCAAACACAGGGTAGTCGTCGGCTGATCTTAAAGCTGATGTTGCACAGCTAGCAGTGTTAAAGAAAAAGCTGACCCCCGCCCCCTTCTCGATGTAGGAGACAAGGGATTGGTAGGAGGTGACTTTAATTGGTCTGAACAAAAGAAAGTTTCAAACTGGTATTTTGCATGACACGATCATTTAATTTGCAGAAATAAATATTAATACCAACAAAAACTGAAGGCTGTCTTAGTTTCGCTGGTCAATATGTAGAATAAATATGTAAAATCTTTAGGAATGAAACTCACTTTTGACAATCCACAACAAGGAACGAAGACAAATACAGAAATAAGTACAACATAGTCAGTGGCATTACAAAATCCATTTCCGCCAACAGATTCTGGATTTATGATAAGATATGAAAATGGCATAAAATTAGGTCGACGTAGAGTGAACAACCTGGGCATCTCAAGTTTAGTAAAAAAATCTTTGCTTTGTGCACCTTAAGCAAGGATATTTTCCAAAAAAATAATCATGTAATGTGCAAACTTATTATACCCCCCGCTTGAAAAGCGGGAGGGTATATAAAACGATTGAGTTTCTCGGTCATAGACAATATCAATCCGTTTTTGTACGTCCGTTTTCCGTCCGTCTGTTACGCTTTGGGGTACCCATCTCTTATCCGCAATTCCTCTCATACAACAGAATGAAATTTGATGAAACTTTCAAAACATCTTTATTACATATTGCCATTGTGCACCTCCAATTTAACTTTTTGATCCGACACATATTTTGGGTTTCCCGGCCACAGGAAAACATGGACTTTTTCACCAGTTAAAACCATATGGGAGGCGGGGGGTATCATTTAGTGAGCTCATCGCTCACAGTACCTCTAGTTTTTGATTTAAAATAAATCAGGATTTTGATAAATTGATGATTTTATTAAGATTGATTGAGTTTCTCGGGTCATTGACAATATCTATGAAGTTTTTATACCCCCCGCTTGAAAAGCGGGAGGGTACACACACACACACTCTCTATTCTCTCTCTCTCTCTCTCTCTCTCTCTCTCTCTCTTAAGTGACAGTTTTTGTGCCCATTTAAGATTTATGTGACTCTTTTGTTTTATGTGACTGTCACAGAGAGAATTTGATTTTTTTTAGCAGAAATGAGAGAGAGAGAGAGAGAGAGAGAGAGAGAGAGAGAGAAGAGAGAGAGAGAAAAATACGGAGAGAGAGAGAATATGGACGTCCGTCAAAAGAGGTTTTGAGATTTACCTCCCTTACCCCATGTATCATGTTTTGCGCCACATAATTTTTTTGGAAAAAGTCATATAAATTTGGAAAAAGTCACATAAATTTGTCAATCACATAACCTGCATTTCGTGGAGATGTTTCTGTTTGTACATTTGTATAGATAGATATAATGTTTAATTTGTAAGGCAATAATATTTTTAAGCTTATCCGCTCTCCTCTTATACAACTGAATGAAATTTGATGAAACTTACACAAATCTTTATTACATATTGCCATTGTGCACCTCCTATTTTACTTTTTACATACATACATATTTGTTGGTTTCCCATAGCAAAACATTTTGACACTGCCATTTATACACATATTTTGGAGGCGGGGCTTCATTTTTTAGTGAGCCCATTGCTCACAGTACCTCTAGTTATATATAGAGAACAGGTTTTCCAAAAACCGGTTAGATTTGCCATGGGTTCTAGCTATGCCTTGATGTTAGCAGACCTGTTTTTGAGTTTATATAAATCAGAATTTATTCAACAAATTCTGCGTGAATAAAAAGGTCTTTTGTGGCGGCCCTCATGTCAACATTTAGATATATCGAGGTCGTTGTGACGATAATAATTAGCCTACTCCCTACCTTGATTTGATATACTCCATTCAACTCAAAATAAACCACACTAGAGTCTGAAATATATGTCTCATGTCTTTACATTATTTACCAGAAAAAAGTCATTGATAGCAATCTGACATCTAAACTTTAATTATGATTAGTACACAGTAACTTGATAACTTGGTTAAACATTTACTGGAACCCGCAATGCATCTTTGTTTGTAAGAATTCTTAGGAAGTTTCGAAATCCAATATATATATTATACATTTAGTTCAGAATCATTTTGGTTCTTTGGGATATTAAAAATTTTCAAAACTGACATATAATTTTGAAGAATTTCCTCTTTATAAAACGGAACTAATATAATATATTTATATGTATATGATGTCAATTTTATATCTGTGATTTTTTATTTGCTAAAACTTTTCAAATTCAGGTACATGTGCATATCATATACCTCGGACTAATTGCAGATATGAAACGTTACATAATAGCGCGAGAGACTTTAAGTTGCATTTTCACCTACTTTTGTTACCTTTTCAAAGACCTACTTGTGTTACTTACTCACCGGCGCACCACGTTTCTACAACATGCTACTGTTTGGGAGAAAGAAAGTGTGTTATGATTTAGCAAAATTTTTGAATGATTCCACAAAGAACATTGCATTACTACTCCGCAAATATATTGTTTGTGTCACAGAAATATAGGAAATTTTACATGAATCGAATTAAAGTTTTATAGAAAAAGTACTAAATAAAATTACAGTCACATGTTCTTCTAAAAAAAGGTTTACGTTGCATGCACACGTCGGTTGTGATCACCTACTCCTAGTGGCATGTGATTTCATTTGCAGAATTCAGAGGTCCATATTGGCTCTGCTTAATGACTAAAATATTTGTTGTTGCAACTTTTAAAAATTGTTATCAGATTTATTTGCATGTATTTTAGTTAAAGGCATATATTGACCTCAAAAAGGTTCATACATACTGATAGGCCACTGTTAATTTTATGTACTGAATTTTCCTTGGGTTTGCCCGATTATGACAATTATTTAATGAGCACTCGCTGGGAGCTAGTGCCCAATCTTTTTTTTCGCTGTATTTCTTTTGGACTGACTGCCATGGGAAGTTGCCCCCCCCCCCCCCCCCCACAGACTTTTTGTCGCAGTAAAAAATTCAATAAAAATATTCCAACTGAATTTGACATTTTATTTGGTTTCTTTGCATTTTGCACCCCCCCACACTCTCTCTCTCTCATGCCGATCACATCATTGTATAACAATTTTTGTGAGTGGCCAGTTTATTGTTTTTCTTTGCTTTTCAGATATTTTGGAACTGTTGAAACGTTGCTTCATTTTTTAAAGAGCACTATTTGCATGAATGAACTAGTTTTCTAGGACAGATCGAATAAATTGCAGGACGACCTATCTCTACCCCTTGCGCCATTTCTCTTTGATTTGGTTGTTGTTGAACATTTTTGTCAATAAATACAAGTACAGTACGTTAATTTTGAGAAAATATAAGGTAAGCTATTACGATTATATGCTTTATTCAATATGTAAGCATTTGGATTCATTTTCATTCCTTACCTTTTGTTCTTAATCGAAACTTAAATCTGTACAAAAAACTGTTTCTTACTCCTGTCAGTGATTTTTCTACAATTTTTTAAAGGGGCCTGTCGACATTTGTGTCAAATTGGGAAAAACAATAAGATTGTAATTAACCTTCATATTGACAAGTAAAATAAAATATATAAGTAAATGTAATATCATTTATTAAATTAATTTGCTAGAAAATTTTTCAACAAAATGGACACAGTTCTACATTTTTAATTTTCTTTCATTTTTGTTCTTTGATTGTCCTATATTCTATTTTTTGCCATTATGGTAGAATAAATTGAGCAAAAATCATTCCCTCTTTTGCAGCAATTGTTCACATTGCAGATGGAATAATCTTGACACAATTTACAAGCATGTATTGCCGTGTTTCTCCGCAATGCTAGTATCTGCAGGATGAAGAAACAGTTTAATTTTCGTGAATCAAGGAAGATTGTTGTAGAACTACTAGTACTTGGCAATTTACAAATAAAGCTATGTTTAACCGGTTCACATGCATATTAAATTTCTTACGATGTTTTTTTCACAAGTTTGACATCCACATGATCGATGTGTTTTTCCAAGTCTTGCAAAACACAAATAAACTGCTTTGCCTGCTGCCATTATTTTAAGTGTAAAATTTTGACCAAAAACAATAGCGTTTAATTTCATATATTATTATTTTTTTTTTAAGTCGTACATAAAAAATTAACCAATATAACCAAAATATATACGTTTTGATTTTAGGAAAAAAGCAGTTGAAAATAGGGAAAAAATATCGGTAATTTTTGATAATGTAACCATGGCGTATTGGTTACCTAAATTGAGTGTAGAAAAATCACTGCCTGTTGAAATGAGTATTGTTTAAAAGGTCTGCGTTAGTATTCATGGAGACCTCTTTTTTTGTCTAGAAAGGGAAGAACTAGTGTTGAAATGAGAGACTAACAAGCAGAAGTCACTCTCACGTCACGACGTGTTGGTGGGATTTGAACTTGAAACCCTTTGCAAGAAACTGTGGAGGTCCGATCAAAGACCGGTAATTTTATAACATAATCAATCTAACACTTGAAAATATGCAGGTTTACAAAAACTCTGTGTGATTTTTTAATTAATAAAAAGCATTGTTTCTCAATCAGCAAAATAGATATTATTTTCATTAGATAGAATGTTCTATCGTTCTATCGTTAAAATGATAAATGTCCTATGGACTCGGTTTAACAATAGAATTCCTTCCATGTATTCACTATGTAGCAAAATAAACATGGGCGAGATCTCAAACACAGTGCAATTACTATGAACAATCCTGAGAATTCCGAATGTAAATATGATGTCATTTTGAAGCGAGAAAAAACGTTGAGAAAATTAGTTGAATATTCACCTTTACTTGCATGATATTTTAGGTTTAAAGGCATACACAACCTCAAAAAGGTTTCTTACAATTAATTTGGCAGTTATTTTAAGTGCAAATTCTTTTGTATTCTTGAAAATAGTTTTGGAGCTATTCTGCAATTTTTTGCTACATTGAAAGTATATCTCTAACTGTGCTTAGATTATTCTAACTATATTTTCATATGCTCTGCACCTAAATTCCATAGTTAAAATTAGCTGTTTACGGGAATAACCTCACCATGTTCAACCGGATCCCTAGGACAATATAATTTTAACGATAGAACATTTTATCTATATATTCCATACATGGATGTATTACAAATTATATTGAGCAATAGTTATATAAATTTTAATCTCCACAATACTAGTAAATTATTCTTTTTGATTCATTTGTATTGTAGGCACCATGTGTGCTCTCCCAGGTGCAGGTGGACAAGGGAAGCGTAAAGAAATTTACAAGTACGAGGCCCCATGGACGGTTTACAGTATGAACTGGAGTATCCGCCCAGACAAACGATTCCGGCTGGCCCTCGGGAGCTTCGTAGAGGAATACAACAATAAGGTCTCATATACACATTGTCAAACTGAAGAGTAGATCATCAGCATTTAAACAAAATAGTGTAGAAATGAATTGTGTTTATTTCCTGGTAATTTAGTTCTACACAATATCTATTGCTGAAATTGACAGCAAATTAAATCAAACATGAGATCATGTTGGAATTTTCTGGTACTATCAAAGTATAAAGTATACTTAATATAAAAGAGTTTTTAAAAATATTCCCTTTTATATGAAGAAAACTAAACAGTTGATTTAAAGCAAATGAGATACAACTAGTTCCTTGTGTTTAGGTACAAATAGTGTCCCTGGATGAAGAAACTTCAGAGTTTACATCAAAGAGCACATTTGATCACCCATATCCTACAACCAAAATAATGTGGATCCCTGATGCTGTAAGTACTGTAGAGTAGATTATGTAGTTCACAGTAGATATAATTTAATGTATTTTATTGTATTTGTTTATAAAATATATATAACATTGATCATTTTGATTTTTTGTAGCAGTGTGAGTAATTTTTTTTATCTCAGAACTGAAGATATGTGAATATTGATTGAAGTTAATAGTACAGCACATCTACTATTGGACAATTCACATGCTGTTTTGTTCCTTTTCTGTAAGCATGATTTTTGCTTTTTACAGAAAGGGGGATACCCTGATTTGCTGGCCACCAGTGGTGACTATTTACGAGTCTGGAGAGTCAGTGACAATGAATCTCGACTGGAATGTCTCCTCAATAATGTAAGTCTGTAATGTTTCCTCAATAATATCTAAGTTTAGAATGTCTCCTCAAAAATAGAAGTCCTTAAGAATGCTAATTATTTGTACAATGTGTATTGTGATGATATAAAGGGTAAAAATTTTAGAGAGATATTTTCAGGCTCAATTTTCTTTCCAGGAAAATATTCATAGACATATGTTTGAAAAATTAAAAATTATGATTATTCATGCAAATGCAAATTCTAAAGTCAGAGTTGTTATTACAGAACAAGAATTCAGACTTTTGTGCTCCATTGACTTCTTTTGACTGGAATGAGGTGGATCCTAATCTTTTAGGGACGTCCAGCATTGATACAACATGCACAATATGGGGTCTAGAGGTTTGTCAGTTTTCTCTATGTATGATAAGTAGCTCATTTTAACCTACCCTTTTTGAAAAAGCTAATCTGAAAAATTATTTTGATAGACAGGACAAGTTCTTGGTCGTGTGAATGTTGTGTCGGGCCACGTAAAAACTCAGCTGATTGCCCATGACAAGGAAGTATATGATATCGCATTCAGTAGGGCAGGAGGAGGGAGGGATATGTTTGCTAGTGTCGGTACGTCAACCTTATTTTTGTAATATTGCATCTCTTTTGACAGTTGAAACTTGAAGGAATTTTTGGAAAACTATAAAAGTTTGAAAATGACAGATTAGGAGTCTGAAATTATATGCTAAATCTTTTATAATATCATTTGAAATTTTTATAATAATACATGTATATTAATTACATTTTAAAAGTATTTTTCAAATATCTCTGGAATACTTTATCTAAAAAAGTACATGTAAATTATGCAGTATAATTGTATTGAAAAAGTCATATTGAAATGAGAGTAAAATATAGTAATATTTCATATATTTGGAGAAAATTCTCCAAACCTTTTAACATGTAAAAAGAATTTTTACACAAATCCCTGTATGTTCTATTAGGTGCTGATGGATCTGTGCGTATGTTTGACCTGCGACACCTGGAGCACTCCACCATTATATACGAGGACGCCCAGCACCACCCTCTCCTCCGACTCTGCTGGAACAAACAGGACCCTAACTACCTCGCTACAATGGCCATGGATGCCATGGAGGTAACAGACTTATTAAATACAGAATTAGGGTTTGTCTCAGGGGAAGGAGGGGTGAAGTTTTGGGATCAGTCAATGTATATGTATTTTCTAATGTTCTCCTCATAATTCAATTCAACTCCACTGAATGATCAGATTTTTGTGATGGGGATAATGCCACACAGTCAAATCAAAATATAACCTTCCTTAAAGGACATTGAGAATAAAGAGCTGGTGGAAGATTTGATTTGAATCAGACTGAATGACACATTAATTTCAAAAGTAATACAAGATATGGACTTGAAAAATTACATATTTGTTTAAAATTTACATTTACATGTAAATCCAACTTGTCTATTTGGTATTTGCTAAGTATTCAAACTAAAGAGTGATTACGTTTTATGTACATGAATACAAAGAAAAACCAGAAAGGGAAAAAAATAAAGAAAAATGGGATGAATTTTAAGCAAAATACATTATTTTAATTTTTAAAAAATAAGTGTGAATTGTTTTCATTAGATTAACTCTCTTTGATAAGTCTTCTCATGTTTACCAGGTAATTATTTTGGATGTGCGAGTCCCATGTACCCCTGTAGCTCGCCTGAACAATCACCGAGCCTGTGTGAATGGGATCGCCTGGGCTCCGCACTCCAGCTGCCACATCTGTACAGCCGGTAAGACATCTATATTATCACATTTTATCCTGGGCTAATACTCATCCTAAATAATGAGTTTAACTCTAGAGCATTTTAACCAAATACAAGTTTTGCTGAATTATATGCAAAGATCAGATGAGATTAAAAATTTTTATAACTGGGTACTAAAAATTATATTTTATTACACTGGGATTAAATACTGGATTAATTAATTTAATGTCTAATGTAAAATCATAAATCTCCTCAGCCAACATGTTACATGAGCTTTTCTGATGGTAGACTTTCATTCATTTCAAATTTGTTTGTGGATATCAACGGTCAACAAGTTTCCATATACAAACTTTCTTCAAGATTTATTTTTCTAAAGAACCCAAGCCGCATGATTGAACTAGTCTGCTTGCATAGCCCAAATAGATTCAGTATCTCTTTCATACCTAAGAAAGCAGAAAAATCTTCTTCAAAGGTGAAATATTGCTGATTTTGTGTAAATGTTTGATTGTGCAGCTGACGACCACCAGGCCCTGATCTGGGACATCCAGTCAATGCCCCGGGCTATTGAGGATCCTATTCTGGCATATACAGCAGGAGGGGAGATAAACCAGATTCAGTGGTCGTCAACACAGCCTGACTGGATCGCTATCTGTTATAATAACTGTCTCGAAATCTTACGAGTGTGAATTAAGGACGGATAGTGTGTGCTATTTACATACATTTGACTTACAGTTGTTCATGTAAGAAATATTTTAGAATAGAAAATCTTAGTGTGTACAGTTAATTTTGAGGGAGCTATAAAAACCAAGAATTGTGTGTCATTTTTTAAAACTGCAGCATGTTATTCCATAGTATTTAAAGTGCATGTACCTACAACTGCATACACATATGACTAGTGTTCAAAGTAAGAATGTTCTGAATACTAACTCGGTCTACAGTATGTTAAACATTTATTTTTGTCTGGTAAAAGTCTTTGTTAATTTGTGCCCTTTTACTTTTTAAAAAGTAGTCTCATATTCATGAGATTCAGCACTAATGACCTGACAGAGCTCAGTGTCATTCAAAGAATTTTTTTAGTTTTATTGAAATTTAGTAAAAATTTTATGTGAAGTATTGTACCGAATAAAGTTAAAATACAAAGATTAACTCAGCTCAGACAAAATTGAATAATTCAAAAAGTCCTACTATTACAAGACATCTTATGGTGACAGTTCCCCAGAGTTTCCGAATGCATTTTTTTATTTCTGAAATCATGAGTCCTTTCCCCTTTATACTGCACTAGGAATTTTAAAGAAATATCTATGAGAGTAATGGGAAAAAAAAAATCATTGGGTTAATTCATACCAAAAGTATGTGCATTATTTGAGGTTGTGTTCAGAAGGCAACTATTGTATTACATGTAGGTTAGAGATTGTCCCACACAAGGATTTTTTCCATGTACATGTACATAATAGGATTTTGTTTTTGAAATGAATATGTACTTAATTATGACTGCATGAAATGCATTGCATTGAAAATGTATTTTCATATACATGTATTTATTTTGTCAATGTTGAGCATGTATATTTGAATATTTGTTCTCTGAGTCAGCAGTTAATATTGATGATTCAGTAGATTATTACATTTTTGAGGGTAGCAGAAACTTATCAATTAAAAATACATAAAATGGAAATTATTTATTTGAAATGTACAAACTTTGTTCAGATACTTACATAATTTTGACATGTGCAGAAATGATTCATATCTTAAAATGTGAATTTTAAAATTTCGAAAAAGAATAGATATTGTATGCATTAAAGATAATTACAAATATTTAAATCTTTCTTAAAAAGAATATGTGAGAGCGACAGACACCCAAGTGATTTTTGTTGTTGTAAAAAGTGATTTCTTCAACCTCCAGATTCCATTTGATTCAAAACATTTTATTTCAAATTTTAAATTTTCGAGTTATTTAAAAAAAATCACAATTGATTCTACATTAGAGCAAGGTCAAAATGTAGTGAACAAGGTGTCTTTTTGAATGCCTCCATCCTTTTATACTATATTTATTATTTACATATTTTACTACTGTAAATGTATTATATTTGGCGTGTACCATATTCATCGGAAATTAATTTTTCAACAAGTTAGAGTAGATTTGATTCAGCTCTATTTGAATGTGCTAGGTATAAATGCAAGATATACAAGGCATTTAGCGATGTACTTGATTTAGTGGACTCTACTCTCCGCCAAAACTGCTAAAAAGAATACACCGCTAAATGTCATACATTTACAGTATTTTGGTAAGCCCCATGAAGAGAATCTTTTACAATGCTTTTTATTTATTTATGCTTTATATCTATCAAATCTTGTCATATAAGATTATTTAATGTTTCTTTTGTATCCTCTAAAAAGCCCATTTTTTGCCATTTTTGGTTCATATGTTTAGATTTCACCAGACACTGATAATTTATGTACATATACATGTAAATCAACTTTAATTTTATTTGTTTAAACTTGTCTTCAATTAAAAATAAAATGGAGTAAGAGATCAAATTCTGGCATTTTACTTATGTATCCAAAATATGAAGACCACACATCTTTTCAATATTTTCATCTGTATCTCATTACAACCTGAACATAGAAGATTAAGATACAGTGGTAATTTTTAAGGCCACCATGAATAGGAACAAAACTTTAAATGTTTGTCATGTTTGACTTGTCTGCTTTTGGTTAAGCTCAAGTTGATAGAAACTGTTCAATATATTTTAATCAAAACTCTAACACAGATATTGAGGAGAGTTATCAACATCCTTAGGACTGGGCTTCTCTTTTGCTCAGTGTGTCATCAGCTGATACATATTATTGAAAGCCATTCAAAAGTTTCTGATTTTTTTTACCATGAACTTACTATGACCTTGAACTCTCCTTGCCCTTATTTTGGATCTAGCTTGGGTTCAAATAGCTATTAATATCATTTTTGCAATAATTTATACACTGTATTACATATTGAAAATAAGTATACTGTGTCATAATTTTCTGTCCTTGAATTTCTCTATGACCTTGACCTCACTTTTTTCCTCATCATGTTTTTCCTTATTTTAAAGAATTGTTTAATAGTCAAAAATATAGGTTCAACCTAATCTCCACCAAGATGAAATTCAGCTCTTTCAATGTACTTAATAAATTGAACAATATTTTAACACAGCCTACTGTATTTGAATTTGAGTCAGGAGAAAGACCATATAAATGCTGTATGAAATGTTATACTTCAGGACAGTATTCAACTTGTTATTCCGTCCAATCAATATTATATATAATAAAATAAACCACGTATAATAGAAAATAATGATACTTACAATGCAGCATGTGTAATGAAAAATAAAATGAGTAGAAAATTGTACGACTTATTTAAAGGATGAATTAGGGATTCCGATGAATTATCTAAATTTCGATTCATCAGAAAAGTGTTTGCTGGGAAAATCTAATATATGGCGAATTTGTGAAGATTATAGGTGAAGGAAAATAAAATTATTTTTTTTATGCATCATAAACCTTTTAATATCTGTAATATCTGTCAAATCGATATTTGCAGTGATATTTCAGTATAACATGACATTTGCGGACATTAGACACACTTTGCGCACTTCCGCTGCTTTATGGACCAATCGTAGATCCACCGCGCGCAATTTGGTGTTTGTATAAAGCAATCAACATTTAGATTAAAGTTACAAGGATAATGCTGAACGATTGATTTTGAAGAAATTTCAATAAATGGTGATGGCAAGTGCAACGACATTGTCTACATCAAGTGGACATGTGTGATTTGTCTGACAGGTAGGAAAATATCATTGGTGTTGAGGACGAATGCAGCTTTGCTTGCAAGTTAAAATAACTGTAGTAAAAGAATGATATCATTTAGATTTTAAAAAAAAAAAAAAAAAGATGTTCATCGTCCTTCTTTCATATTGGCGCTAAACCTCAGGGGTAAGTATTATGACGTCATTTTGACAGCTGATTGGAATGCCATCGCGTGTTTGTCAACATAATGCTGAGAAAGCACCTTTCTTTATGAGAAAAGATGGAAATTATGCCCTCATACAAATATGGACATGTTTATGTCAGGTTAATTGTATTTTTTTTTCAGTATTTGTTAATTTGTATAAATTAGAGCAGGTGGTACATTTATCATGTTTATATGCAATATGCTCCCTGAGGTCATCATTGACATGATAAAGGAAATGTTAAGAGCATAAGGCATTGCTAATTGATTAATGTTCTTTGATCATGTTGATTATAATGACAACTTATTCTTTGTAATCGTGGTTTTAGTTTCTTGTTGAAATGGAATTGCTGCAATCAAAGACCTGCTTAATAAAAACTGATTAACTCCTTATTTTTAGTTATGGAGATCAACAATGTTAAAAGTTGCTTTTTTTTTTATATAAATATGACAACCAAGATTAGTCAAGAATTTTTACTTGTAGTTCTTCTTCAGCCATTTGATCCAAGTTTATTGAAATGATTATGACATCCCACATTAGCATTTTTAGCTGAATTTATGTCTAAAATGTAACTTTTTGTACATTTAGAAAAAAAAACCCCACAAAGTCACAAATAAGAAAAAAGATGCGATAAAACAGCTATATTATGCTATTCAAAAAAGCTTAATAAAACAAAAGGACTTTGATTACACATATTATTGAGATATGCACTATTACTTTAAAATAAAACTTAGATGCTGGCCTCCATTTTCGATCTTTATTTACTGTACATAGGGCAGTAAAATAGGAAAAAATATTAAAAAGAGAGTAAATAAATAATTTCATTTCAGTTCTGCCAGTTATAGCAGACAGTCATACAGCAGTGGAGAAGAATCTAGTGATTGTGAATTAGCTGACCACGACTACAATAGTCAGCAGTTTACTAGCAAGAAAGTCGTTAATAAAGGAAGGTGGACAACTGAGGAGGCAAGTCTGAAGTTCTTCTTCATATTTTTAAATAAAAAATGAGATGACCCTTTCAGGAATGGTACACAGTGGTATGTATTATAGCAAATAATCTGAATGAAAATTTGATTATATTAATTCATTACTTGATTGTAGGACGAAAAGTTACGCAGCCTTGTAGAAGTCAAGGGCGACTCTGACTGGAAGCAGATAGCTAGCTATTATCCTGATAGATCAGACATCCAGTGTCAACACAGATGGTGTAAAGTTCTCAACCCTAATCTTGTCAAAGGAGCCTGGACCAAAGAAGTAAGCACCCAAGAAAAGATGATGTGAACATAATTTTCTCTTGTAGCTCAAGTGGGCCTTTCTGATCAAAGGGTGTCTGGCATAGTTGCCAGATCACTGTTTAATACTGTTTAATACCTGTTTTTAAAGCTCACCTGAGCTGAAAGCTCAAGTGAGCTTTTCTGATCACCCATTGTCTGTCCGTACCTCTATCCATATGTAAACTTTTCACTTTTCCAACAAAAAAATTTTGAGAATGTTGCTAAAGGTTAAAGGGGCACTCAAATCCTAGGGACTAACGTAGTTAATTTACTTTAGGCCATAATAAAAATATTCCTAAATCCAATCCCCGCCCGGCCCGATTTTTTACCCCCGCCTCGATTTTTTTTATTTCTGTTTTTCTTCGTCTTAATTTGTAGAATAAAATGATAATAATCTACCATTCTACTTTCATTTTAAATCCCGCGAAATTGACATGATTTTGACAGCTTTAAAAGATGGTAATTGCTGTAATACATGCGTATATATTCTAAACAACGGTCATTGGTTGAAAAAGATTGGTGATGATGTGAAGAGAGATAATTGAACCTTTACTGTGACTTTTATTCGGGTATTGTTGATAAAATTACATCGATTGACCAGGTCAATAAAAAATCTGCAAAGTTGAAAAAATAAAAAATATAAAATAAAAGCCGCCCGCCCGCCTCGATTTAAAAAAAAATTCGGATGAGAATCTAGCAATTTATTTATTATGGCCTTATTTGTACCTTAAGGGGAAGAAGGACCTTTAGCTGAAAAGATACCTTTCGTTCAATTTTTGTCCTATTTTGTATACAGTTAATTCTCGATAAATCGCCACATTTTGTGATTTAGAAATCATGGTGGTATAACGAATTTGGCAATGAATTGAATTTCCCATCTTTTAGAAAACAAAAAGTAGAGTTACCATTCTTAGAAATACCACTTAACGTTTCTATTTTTATTATTACATGCACATGTAAAACATATTTCTGATAGAAAATACTTCAAGTAATTTTTTTTAATGTACAATTTTGCTAAAACAAAATGTGCAGTTATGAAATAAAGACAAGTACATGTGTATGCATGTAATCTGCACGTCTGATATTGAGAAAAATACATGCCGGGTCGATTGTCGTGATATACTGCCGATAGTATGTAAAATGAATTCTTGAATAAATTCATTTTTTATGGCGTCATTGTTAATGAAACGTTCACAATTTATACCATATAATTATTTTTTCAGCAAACTTTGCATTGTTTAAAGCAGAGATTATCAAAATGATATCGTTAACGACGTACTTTAACAACGACCGCTTTAAAATTATTGTTTATTTAATTCTTGTTTAATTACTTATTTGCAAGTACCTTGTCTGCCTTTGCATGCTGTACAAACGGGATTACGTCAACCAATTTGCCGCGCTTCACTGACCACATGCACCTGTGGCGGTATATCAAGATAATTGACACTTAAAAATGGACGTTTGTTGTGAAAACAGGGTGGCGGATGGCGGTATGCGAATTTGGCGTCATAAAGAGAATTTTATATAGGAGGAAAAACGTTCTTGGGAAATCATGGTGGTATTGCGAAAATGGCGATGAATCGAGGGGCAATAAATCGAGAATTGACTGTATCTCTAATTAAGTATGTCCCACATACTTTTAAGCAGATATATCAGTAGGTTTCTAGACTTATTTTTGAGATATTGAGTGACAAATTCTATGCCCCACAGTGTCCAAGTGGAGTTTTGATTCTCTGTGTTTCTGGGCCCATTACTCGGTCAATAATTGAATTTTTTCAGCATAAATAAAGAATATGTCAGCGAACATGAGTCTTTTAAAATATTTCAGAGTATGAATATGGTTAAAAATTCGAAAAAGCAAGAGTCCTTTGTCACACCGCATCTGAAGATGGAAAATTACGTACTTTTTAAGACAACTTAAACAACAATAAAATTAATTTGCAAAAAATCCTATCATTCAATATTTGAAAATTTACATTGAAATTCAAGTTCGTCATGTTATTGATTAACTGTAAAAATATCAATTAGTGAAGCTGAGCTCAGTATTGCACAGGGCATACTTAAACAAGACATGAGCATGACAGAAACGTGTCATTTCTGGAGTAAGGGATAAGCCAACTGTGACGTCACACATTTGCGAAATAAGCGAAATAAGACAAACCTACAAAATATTTCCGTCAACAACCATGTAAAAATATTTTTTTGTGTTCTCTAATTCATAAAGTACCCCACCATGTACTGATCATGACCCGTTTTTATGATATTACACAACCCGTGTTTCACCGTGTATAATCTTACTGTACTAAGGGATCCACTATGACGTCAATGACTCGTTGGACGCGCAGTGTAGGGAAACAGAAGAGTGGATCAATCTACTCCGTAATTTGATAATATTTGCAAGAAAGTTTGAATGTTTTTAGATATTTTTATACAAGATGGTGAACTCTAACAAACAGTCAAAAAGTTCTACAAGTACTGTAGTTTCAATCTTGTTTTGTACATGTTTTATCAGAGATTATGACGTAATTAAAGTGAGTCATGTGACTATACAACCTTCTTCCCCTTAATGAAGAAGACAAATGTTCAGATTGTAACCTAATTTTTTTTAAAGCAATTTACATTCTTTATTTGTAGGAGGATGAAAAAGTAATTCAGCTGGTGAGAGAAATTGGAGCAAAGCATTGGACCCAAATCTCCAAGCAGCTTCAGGGCAGGACTGGGAAACAGTGCAGAGAGAGGTAGGCAACTAGTGCTATTTTAAGATTACAGCTTAGCTTCTTTCAGCAGGGTTGTGGATAAACACTTGCCCACTTTCAAATGCCTAATAATTTGCTGTGGTGATTAGATATTGAAAATCTGCTTGCCCACATGGCAAACAATTATTTTTTAACGTAATGACATTTCAGATTTAATGTTCATGTAGTTTTTGTTTTTAAGAAAATGCTGTGCATGTACTACCCTAGATTATTTTTGTTGCATGCAAGCATATTAGTCAAACATGTATGTGACAGAACAAAAATGGTGATTTATCAAAGTGCCTAAATTTGAAATCTCTGATAAATTTGATCATGTGAGAGCAAACATTTGAGATTGTTCTTATAGAAATTTTTTAACAATCGGCTACAGTTGTCAGACACTCCATCTGGACTAGTTCTTAATAGATAGATGTAGAATTGACATTATTGTGTCAAATGCACGGAATCAAACTTCATCACAGGTTGTATGTAGTTTGATAATGTCCCCTTGTTAAAGCATAGACAACATTTGTATGGTTATAAACACTTCAAAATGTAATGATTATGAACATATACAGTGAAAAATGCTTATAGTGAACACTTACAGTAAATATTGTAAACGTAGTGGATATAATAGATTAAGGTATTACAAAGCAAAGTTTGTTATAAGGGTGTTTTGTTGTAATTTTATCAAAGTTTTATGAAAAAAAGAAAACCAGATTAAAAAGTTCAAATACTACTAACAAATTGATGCCTATAATTTAAAAAAAAACATTTAAATTTTTATGCCCCGCCATGAATATGGCCGGGGCATTAAAAAGTTCAAATACTACTAGCAAATTGATGCCTATAATTTAAAAAAAAAACATTAAAATTTTTTAGGATTTTTTTTTGTTTAGTTGACATATAATGTGGGCCGTATATCACATTGTGGGCCAGTAAAATTTAAGAAGTTAGGAGTCCATGTGGCCCCTAAGGTTTCAAAAGTTAACCACAATCCTGTTCAGTGACAGGAGTTGTGAAATGTAAAACCTGGAAAAATGAATACAAAAAACAGCACATCCTGCATGTTTTAATTCATTGCTGAATTCATCTTGTAGGTGGCATAATCACTTAAATCCAGAAATAAAGAAATCGGCCTGGACCCGAGAAGAAGACGCACTGATTTACCGACTTCACGGGGCCCTCGGCAACAGATGGGCAGAAATAGCCAAGTATCTACCCGGCAGGTACTCCCACAGCTGTCCTATCTCATGATAACAGAACCTTACAGGCTTATCTAACGAATATTATAGATGCTCTTGTTTGAGGCTTATTCTTAAGATTTTACTGCTTATTGATATGTTAATAATTCAACCTTGTTTGAGATTTATAAGGTCAAATTACATTTAATGGGAAATCATTTTCTTGTTATTAATTATGAATTCTGGAATCCTCCTTCAAGGCAAATATTGCAATGCGAAAAATATGCAATATGAAAAATTTGCCAGAAGTAATTTTTTGGCACCTTTTGTGTCAGAGTTCTAGTACAATAATTCTAAGACACCATGTTCTTTTATCCAGTATGATTAAAAAGTCATTGTAGTTAACGCCTCAAGCACACATGTACATAATAATTATATTTTAGGAAAAGGGAAATATGAAAAATATATGTAATGATGGAAGAAATTTGTTAGAATTAGGTAATTTAAAAGAATGATGAAGAATAGAATATCAGGTAGTGCCCACTTCCTCCTCTTTGCACCTGTGTTACCTTGTTACCTGAAACATGAAAGCCCTCTTGCAGATTTTCTTTCTTTGTTGTATTTAAGATGTAGACACTTGTCTTTGAGATGACACATAAATGTGACAAGAGTTAAGTGTCTTGGCTATTGATAGAAAATGATCGCTTTGATCCTCAGGTTATTTGACATATTTCTGTAACAGCGTAATTTGAGGATTGACATTTCACAGAAATATCATAGTTGACTAGACAAACAATTGTCATAATTTTTCTCCTTTTATGCCAACTGACATCATTTTTTTTAGGAATTCATTTATTTTAGGACCTGCATAAGGAATATGTATACATGCTAAAAAGTATTCAGTGGGTCTTTCACTGTTCAGTTGATGATAATGTCTGTGTAACATGCAGGTTTCATAATGAACATTGTTTTATGCCAATGAATTTAAATCGATTCCCTACAAGATGTTGATCAAATGTTTAGATCCATCTATCAAAAGATGTTGTGTTGTAATAGCCTCACTTCCTTTTCATTATTCAAAAAACAAAAAATAAGAAAGAAAAAAATATGACTGGATTCTATACAAATTTTTACACCCTAGCATCTGCATCCATATCGAGTTTTTAGCTCACCTGAGCTGAAAGCTCAAGTGAGTTTTTCTGATCACCCATTGTCCGTCATCCATCCATCTAGCTATCCTTCTGTCTGTTAACTTTTCACATTTTCAACTTTTCTAGTTCCTCAGGAACCACTGGGTCAATTTTAACCAAACTTGGTACAGAACATCCTTAGGTTAAAGGGATTTCAAACTATCAAAATAAAGGGCCCAAGTTCCCTTATGGGGGAGATAATCAAGAAAAGACAAAAATAGGGTGAGAGCTGACTGTCAATCATTAAAAAATCTTCTTCACAAGAACTGCTGAGCCAGAAAAGCTAAAACTTAAGTGGAAGCATCCTGGGAAAGTTTAGATTCTAAATTGTCCAAATCATGACCCGGGGATAGGGCAGGGCCACAATAGGGAATCCAACTTATATATTGAAATATATAGGAAAAATCTCAAGAATCACTTTGCCAGAAAAGCTGAAACTAAAGTGGAAGCATCCTGGGATAGTGTATATTCTGAATTACCAATTGTGACCCCTGGGGGTAGGAAGTGGTCACAGTAGATATAAAAAGGGGGAATCTGGTAACAGCATGGCCAAAGGTACTCAGGTGAGCAATGTGGCCCATGGGTTTCTTGTTACTTGGTGTGTCCAAAGAAAACTTGTACATATTTGGCATAGAACAAAATTGCTTATTGAAAGCTGCTTACTGACCTCCCCAAAATGACACAACTCACTATATTTAGAGGGATCCTCTAGGGAGATAATTTATTTTTTAGATATTCAAATTTTTCAATTGTAGACACTCAGTTTACTTTCTATTGCACATCCTTATTATTATTTGTGCAAGTCTTCAGTTAAGTGAAGCATGCACTTGGTGCAGGTACATAAACTTTTCAATAATTCTATCAGAATGCTTTTAATCTGTAAGAAAAACCTGATATCACAAATCAATTTAAAAAAAGATCCATACCTACCCATTACCCAACCACTCTAAAAATGTGGTTTGGTAACTGCAAACAAAGAACTTTTTCAGCTTGGTCTTGCATTGTATTGTTATGCATGATAGAATGCTGAGATTATCTTACTTATAACAACATTTAGTTAAGATGTTCTATACTGTAATTGATTCTTTTACAATCCATCCAACTTACATGTAGAATGCAACAATGCTTTGTTGGATTAACATACATGTCTGTAAAGAAAAACAATTAAAGTTCTGTCCTAGTTTATCCCAAGTGATAATAAGTAGTACAAAATGAGTTTGCTTTTTTGTTCAATGAAAGATAAAGAAATTTTTATTTTTTCGAGGACTGATAATGCAATAAAGAATCATTGGAATTCTACAATGAAGAGAAAGTATGAGGAGCGGATCCCACCAGCTGACTTTACGTACACCCCAGCGATCATTACTGGGCAGCCCTGCACTCCAAGTAATTCCACAGTCCCTTCACTTCAGCCAGTCCAGCTCTTCCCTAATGCCCACATCAGCCAAGATTCTGTGAATGCCTTTATTACAGGGTGAGTTTGTGCACTAGGAGAAACAGATCAATTTTAGGGATGAAGTCAGCTAAAAAGAAGATCACAAAGTTTTAAGTACAGTTGAGCCTCTTTAATCTGGAAATGTGTGTTTCCAAGTTAATAGTCAGCACTAATGAAGTGTTGCATCACAAAAACATACCTTTTACAAAAGTAAATACATGTATAAATGGTAAATCTGTTTCCTACAATTTTAAACTGGAAGCAGGGTTCAACACTAGTTTTAATCGTATTCTAACTGGCCCTGTTCAAGAATTTGTTGTTTAGCAGCCAAAAAGTGCTGGCAGAGAAATAAAGCAATGAAAGGTACAATTTTTGCAATTGCTTTCTGTGAATGTGTTTAATTTAAGATTTCATCAGCCCAGCAGGAAAAGCTGAATGACTTCCTCAATTTTAGGGCAACCATTAGTGTTGAACTCTGGGAAGGTGAAATGTCCTGATTATTGGTATCTGGATTAAAGAGGCTTGCTTTTTTTTATCATGTATATGTTAAAATTTTTATACTTCTAAAAATAAAGAAGTTACTGTTAGCAATATACTGAGAACTTGTAACTTTGAACTTAATTTTACACATATTTCAATTTCATCACAGTCCAGATGGTGGTCAGAGGGTGAATGTGTTGAACATTGTACCAGTTGGAAAAAATGGAGGCAGCAAAAAGACTCCATCAAAGTTCACTTCACTGTATTCTAAAGGTTTGATGTTTACTGCACCTCTACTGATGCATTAAGTAGTCCTACAAATTGAAAATCTGTCATATACATGTAATTATGTAGTTTATTTTAGGAAAAAAATATCTATCTGAAGCTTTATATATGTATGTATTATGGTAATATATTATTTGGCATAAACTTTTCTAGATTTGGATAATGAATTTTCACTAAATTGCATTGTTTATTATCAAGTTTAATGATTTGCTCAGAGAATTTGCAATAGCTTATTTTGATTTCAAGAGTACAGATTTGATGGGAAAGCTATAAAGAAACTGAAGAGTCCGGGACGACTGATTCCAATCCCCTCCCCGGTGACGTCCAAGTTTTCAGCTGTACCCTCAATCTTAAGAAGGGGAAAGGACAGAAGGAAAAATGTGGCCAAAATGGTAGGTTAATTTAATTTCACAAAAGGTGATGATTTATTACCTGTATGTTTGATCTTTGATATGCTCAAACCACATTTCATCAAAGAAACTAAACAAAAATTTAATCATTTTACCTGCAAGTAGAGGACTTGCATTTTAGAACTTTCTTACTTGCATATCAAAACTCTTATGAGAGGCATTAAGGTACCAGGGTATTTATCAATCAATAATAGAATTATGTTTTAATCAAAGACAAAAAAACCTAACATGTAAGGTTCTGAGTTAAAATTTTAAAAAAGATGAGAAAAGAAACATTTTTTGTGCACTTCACATGCTGCTTGCACTTTTCCATGCTTGTGTGTGCATTAATAATCCATTTATATGAATATCCAACAATGCATTAAATTTTTAACTCCAATCTAGAATGGACTCCATCACTCCAAAGATAATGATAGTTTAAGGAATTACTATGTAAATACAAATAATTTTAATATCACTTATAAGAGTGATCACTGAGTGAATGCTGGGAGTTGGTTAAGGGATTGAAGAGGAAACAATGATTGAATGTTCAGAGTGAAGGAACATATAATATGTAAACCAAAAAAAAAAAAAAAGAGAGAGAGAAAATAATAGAACATGTCAGGAAGTGTCATTTCCAGGGAAAATTTAAAACTCAAGTTCGGTTGAGGGTGATTTTGCAGGAATAAATACATGTATGTAGTTCATGGACAAATGTACCTGTTATCCTTAACATAGTTTAAATTATTGTGCATGAACATGATTGAAAAAAAGAAATATGACTCTGAGCTCCCAAGATCAATGCAGTATATTTGGAAATTATGGCATGTAACACTGATGAATATCCAGTAAGCTAATGTCCCCTACAGGGTCACTGGGTAGATTACCACTAAGGCCATGTTTATAGGTCATTATGATACAAAGCACTGAAAAATTTGATGATTCATTTACTGTACATATCTAAAACTCATTATGTAAAAAGAAAAGGAATTCATTATAAAACAATATATTGTCTTCCTTGAAGCAAAGTTTGAATTAAGGAATTCTTTATTACAACTTATGGCAGGAATAAAAGGTAAGTTTCCGTATGAGGTTTTAATTACTGGGCAAATTACCTGATATAGAATTTAGTGAGTTACGGGATATTTTCCCAGACTATTGCCCTTTTGGTAGGGGATTTAAGTGTTGATTTTATTTTCTCTCTGTCAATCTGGTGGGTTAATAGTGACAAATCTGTATATTATTTCTAAAGAGGAGGAAGTGACATTCAAAAATTCAGTATTCCTAATCATTGCTGCTAAACATTACTTTTAATATTATAAATAGGCATTATTGAAATCAAACCTTTTTCATGGTCAAGAAGATTGACATTGTTTTTCCTCAAGGTCAAATTTTTGTTCTCTGAAAAAACTATTTATTCAGCTGAAATATCAACATAGACTTCAACAAAGCTTGAAGCACATTTATCTTTTTTTTTTCTTTTTTTTTTTTGAAATTTCTTGATTAGGAGAATTTTATTTGTGCATAGATGAAAAAAAAAATTATCCTGGATAACATACTGTGAAATCACTAATTTTCGTTGATTTTGTGGTTTGGAGAGAACCATGAATTATGACCACCACGAAATGTAAAATTTTATATGCAGTACTACTTAACATTTTCCAACCACAAAATAAAATCCCCACAAACTATTTTTTCCTAAAAATTTGAATCTTACGAAAATATGTGATTTTACAGTATGCCCCATTCTTTAATATCTAATACTTCCAAGGCTAGAAATATTTTCCTTTCTCGCTTTGGCTATCAATTTAAATTTTATAATCTAACAAAGCTTGGATTTCTTTGTATTCCTAGAACTTGGATGCACAAACCCATCATGTAATTAAATTTTGACATGCATAAAATTATCATTGGTTCCAAGGGCACTGTTTTGTTTTGCATGAAATCTTTTTAATGCATATGTTTCTTTTCTTTGTTTCAGAGCAAAGTGTTAAAAAAGAGAAACATAATAAACATAACAAAAAGACATTACCTGGAGTCAGCTGACCTAGGTACAGCCATCGGAAATGAAAGTGAGGCTAGTGACACAGAAAACACAGACCCTGTTGGTCTGCCCTTCAAGGCCTACAAGGAGAAGCCTGTAAATCAGATAGAACTGGGAGTTGTTCTGAGGGAGATCAATCCAGAAAATTTAGATGATGTCCCTGAAAAAGGAAGTAATTCCGTGTCAGAACTAGAGTCTGTGACTCCCAATGGAACACCAATCAAGACTTTGCCATTTTCTCCCTCAGTGGTGAGTTTTACATTAGTGTATTATTATCTCTTCACAGCAAAGCTGGAGGAGGTATATTAACCAGTTCTTTTAATATGGTGTGGGTGAAATGTGTCCCCAAAAAAGTCCAGTATCATTAAACCCAAAAAGTTTCTGAAATAATGATTCATTTAAAGGAGTATGTTCCAACCAGGGTTCGACATTAACTTTTTTACCTTGGTGGACCGCAGGTCCACTTGTCAAAAATTATTGGTGGACCTTCTTAATATCTGGTGGACCTTTATAAATGATTGAATAAATGAATGAAACATTACACAAGGCGTTAATTAAAACTAACTTTAATATATACCGATACCAGACAGACCAATAAAGCATAAATCTAACCAGTCAACAGAATCAAATCAATATTAAGGACTAGTCAGATATTTTCAGAAATATTGTAAAAAAATTTTAAAAAACTATCAATCTATAAACCAAAGAAATATTTTTAATAATTATCATTAAGTTACAATGGTGAAAACCTGCATTTATTTCACTTCCACAGGTAGATTAAATTTAAAACTCCAATTATTAATTAATTCGTTCAATTATTAAACAAGTGAATTTTTCATGTATCCATGGCTAGATCATTTTTTTTACTACGGTGCAAAACTGACATAGGTACATGTATCTGTATTAATCAATTATCTTTTAAATTTATTATTTATTCAAATAAGTAGTGATATAATATGTATATCAAGAAAAGAAAATGAAACTGCAGATAATAGTTCATTTAATGTAAATTACGCCTATTTGAACATCTATTTAAAAAACAATGCTTAAGTGCAGCTGTCAATCAATTCTAATTATCTCCAACAGTGTGCGTTCAGGCGTGAAGCGATTTCCTGTTACCCAATGTAATTTTCACACCTTTCTGTGCATTACGTAAACAGAGGAGAGACTGGCTAAATTTGACACGGATTTTTCATGCTTATTCAAGGTCCGTGTTGAATGTTCTTGCGTCTCAATATTATTGTTAATATTGGAGTTATTAATTTTACATGTAAAATATATCGAGTTATTCCCCCCCCCCCCCCCCCCCACCTCATTACCTAAACATTTTTTACATGTATATTTAATTCTTTTATAATAAAGGCATGGAGGAATTAATAATTTGAGTTACGAATTTCGATTTAAAGAAAAAGAAACCCTGGAATTTCACTGTCTTTAAATATGGTGTTTAAATTTTAAGTGGACCGACGGTCCTCCTAGTCCTGAACATTTGGTGGACCTTCCAATTTTTTGGTGGACTCGGGCCGTTTACCGTTAGTGTCGAACCCTGCCAACCATATACTTGCAACCTTTATTCTTGTCTAAAATGAGTCTTGCCATATATAGTAAAGTAAAGTTTACAATCAGACTGGAAAAGCTCTGTACTACTGTACATGTATATAAACCCGTTTTGCAGTTCCTGAACAGTCCTGGGATTCCTATGGGTAGAGTGACTTCCACTCCAGTGTGCAGTCAGCGAGAGGCAGCCACACCCACCTGTCCACTGCAGAGCAGTGCAACCAAAACAAGTCAACCCAAGTATGTTATGTTGTGGTTGTACATGGTCAAATTATTTATTTGTTAGAATGCCAGCATTATTTTGTATGGTACATACAATAGTGGTTGATTTTAAGTCCTATTAAATGTTTGACCTTGACCTTGTTACAGGTCGGCCCAGTGTACCCCCAGGATTAGGAGGACCCTGCTGAATGCCACCCCCAGGACTCCCACTCCTTTTAAGGAGGCTGTTGCTGACAAGAAGAATAAAATTAATGATATGGTAAACTTTCATATGTATTACAATGCAAGTTATTCTAATAATAATGATATGCTAAATTTTAGAATCCTTTAAGAATTTAGTGGTGTCTTATGATGTCAACTTTGTCTGTATGTTTTATTGTTTTTCATTCTATCCATCCTCAAATATTGTTTTATCTCTTTTTGGCTAAAAGCTTGTGACTTTTCTGATCAGCTGTTGTTTTCAAGTCCATCTGTTTATCCAACTATCTTATGGGCCTTTTACTTAGCAAGACTAGACCTGCTGATAACATTTCTGTGAAGTTTCAGCTGGAATCTCTAAGTCATCTGTAAGAACAGCTCTCAGAAAAATTATAGGTGAAAGACCGTGAGGCAATTGCAATATGTCACCCTGACATTATTTTGGGTGACATATCTGACGTACCCATTTAAATGAGTTAAATTTTCATTAGAAGTCCCTCTGTGGCTACTTTTGGATGAGGTCTTTGCTCTGTACCCCTATTGGGAGAGCAATTGAAATAGTATTAGGTATTTCTTGATATACAAATGTACTAATTTTTCACCCAATTATCCTTGTATAAATATAATCAATTCATCTTTGGGTTCGATGCTGTTCTAATGTGGTATTCTATGTTTTTATTGCTTGCATGTATTTTGAGAACACATATTTATGTATTTTTCTATAGGTACCTAAATCTGATACACTTCTCTGTATTTACAGCCAGAAGATGTTGATGGGAAGGAAGAAAACAGACTGACATTTACCCCAGACATCGCTCAAATCACCCGGGGAGGAAAACAAGTATCTGTCAAAAAGGTTAACTCATCTGTACATTGTTTTTGCTATAAAACACTAAATAAAATTTCATAAATATCATTTTAAAAAGTGTCAAAATAGCCTTATACTGGTAAATATTTGCATGAATACATATAGTCTCATAAATTCATTCCAGCTTGTTATCACATTTATATGTAACCAAATGATCTCAATACATTTCTTTATGTATAACTGGTCAAAAGCAATTACAGTTAATTTCATGATCCTTGCCACCTTTTGTAATTTAGAAATCATGGCGGTATAACGAATTTGGCGATGAATTGAATTTCCCATTTTTAGGAAACAAGAAGTAGAGTTACCGTTCTTAGAAATACCATTTAGCGTTTCTATTCTTATTATTACATGAACATGATTGTATATAAAATTATATTTCTAAATTTAAAAATACTTCAAGTAATTTTTTTATGTATAATTTCGCTAAAACAAAATGTGCAGTTATGAAATAAAGACAAGTACATGTGTATGCTTGTAAATCTGCACGTCTGTGAACAAAAAATGCTGGGTCGATCGTCGTGATATATTGCAGATAGTACGTAAAATGAATTTCTTTGAAAATTCTAAATTCACTGTTTATGGCATCATCGATAATGAAACGTTCACAAGTTATACCACATATAATTATTTTTTTAGCAAACTTAGCATCGTTTAAGGCAGAGATCATCAAAATAATATCGTTATCGGCTTAAAATTGTGAATTTTATGTCCTCAAACGAGGGTATACCCTCAAACGAGGGTTTTCCTTCTAAATGCAACGCTCGGCAGAAGAACGATAACTCTTCTTATTTAAAAAATTATATTTTTTAAAAATCATAAACATACAAAAATAAATTGTCTACACCTCTGTTTTCAAAAAAAAAATAATAAAAATGTTTTCGTCTTTATTTTCGTCATTTCTGAGGCACAAAAGTTTGTTTACAGGACAAAAATTCGAACATGCACGAAGAAAGTGTCATAAATAATAAATAACATGCTAATTACACAAGATTTTTAATACCGGGGAAGGGAATTATATGTAGTTCAACTTTAAACAAGCAATTGTTTGTTTATTCATCCGTTTTATTAAATTATGAATAAAAAATCTAGTTGTATCATGGATAAGGAAAATACAACTTTGAATTCTTTTTTACAATAAACATATACTTTTTCGCAATACAATCTCTTTAAACATCTTTAATCTATCAAATTTGAGTACATAGCTACGAAATAATCCATCACTTTGCACGAGCATATTTTGTGGACCACACGTTTTTCCAAAACGGCACTTGTGAATTTTGTAGCGCCATACCCCCGTCAAGGGATTCTGGTGTTAGGTTTGACGGTTCGACTGTATTGTTAACAACTACCGCTTTCATGTATATAAATGATTTTTAAAAAGAAATCAAAATTATTATAACAGTTCATGTTAAAATTATTGTTTATTAATTCTTGTTTAATTACTTAATTGCATGTACCTTGTCTGCCTTTACATGCTTTAAACAGGAATAGCGTCACAACCAATTAGCCGCGCTTCACTGACCACACGCACCTGTGGCGGTATTATCAAGGACACTTAAAAATGGACGTTTGTTATGAAAACAGGGTGGCGGATGGGGGGAATTTGGCGTTATAAAGAGAATTTTATATAGCAGGAAAAATGTTCTGAAAATCATGTTTGAAAATGGCGATGAATCGAATGGCGATTAATCAAATATTTTTGAACATGTAAGGCCATGTTTAAAATAATGTTTGCTTGCCCTCTCACAACTCGGGGTAAAATAGTTGCAATGTGTGCAAAATCTTTTTTAATTGTTGACGGGGAGAGAGTAAAGGAAAAAAGAATTTCATGTTTGGAATGTAGAAAAAAGTTTCTAGTGAGGCCATTTTTACTGATTAGTTGAAGATGCAAACAATTTTTTAAAGATGGCCTAACAAACGTAGTTTTAGAAAATATTAAAAAATATAAATGCAAAACTGAAAAAAACATATACGAGGGTTGATCCAAAAGTAATGTTATGTCCATATCTTTTATGTTTGGCAATATTGTCAAATACAATATACCAAAAGATGCACAAATATAAATCTAATTAAAATTGAAATTTTAATTAAATAATGTTTATTTGAATTTATTTTATAGATGTTTAAAACATAGTGCATAGGGGTTGTCGCCCATGTTACAACCTCTTTTAAAGTGCATTTTTTCTATGTAAAAAACCAAACACATTAAAAAAATTCTGAATAAGCACCTAATCTCCCATTTTTTAAAGACACAATTCTCGTCACTTTCTAGGTTTAATTGAAAATTAAACGACGGCATTGGTATTTTGTGATCATAAACATTGTTGTTTTACAGTTGAATTGAACAAAAGGATTGTTGAAATGGAGAAAAAAAGGCTCGACGAGTTGTAATGCATTTTTGCTTCAAAATACGGAAATCATCACTAGCGATATTTTCGTTAATAATCACCCAGAATAAAGAATGTAAATAAGAGACATTATAATAGATGGTTTCAGCAATTTTGGGCGGGTGATTGGTCACTGAATGATAAGGTTAACTCCAAAAGAAAGGAGTTTGTACATCGTTTTTGCTATAAAAAAGACAGACTAAGTGACATGTGAATTTTTAAGTTTGTCTTATGCTACTGTTCAAAAAATTTGACAAAGGGCTTAATTAAAAAGTGTCAAAATAAGAATTCTTAAAGAGAGTTTGGTGAAAGTGTTTGCGAATCACAAATATTTTTTAATGAAACGAATAACGCTTAAAAGTATAGTATCCATCATATGACGTTATATTTAGGTGCGGCTTGTTATTGTTTACATTTTTTAACCAAGTATCTCAATCATTTCTTTTGAATTTTTCACTTCTGATTTTAAATAAATAAAGCTTTTCATCATGTATAATTTTGTTGCTTTACGTCGATTTATAGCAATTTTATCAAAGTTGTGACATTACTTTTGGATCAACCCTCGTACAAAATATGTTGGTAGGTAAACGAAAACTTTTTTTTAAGTTGATGAACCACTTATGTTATATTCTTTGTTTGAGGACATTTCAAATTAAATGTCTGCAAATAATGATCTGCTACATGATAGAAAATTTTCTGCTGTGAACTTGCTTTAACTACCTAAAAATTGCAATTATTAGAAAAAAATTTGTCCGTTTCTTGTCGTTGTTGTCGGCTTTTCACATTTTATCTTCTTCTCAGTCACTGTCAATTTCAACCAAACTTGGCACAAAGTATCCTTGGGTGAAGGGGACAATTTTTTAAAGATGGGCCACGCCCTTTTCCAAGGGGAGATAATTATGAATTAGTGAAAAAATTAAAAAAAAAATAAATGCAAAACTGAAACTCATGTGGAAAACATATATACAAATTTGTTCAAGATTAAATGAAAAATTTTTCATTTAAGAATATATAGAAATCTTGTTATAATCTCCTTCTCAAGTACTTCAAAGCCATGATTTGTGAAATTAAATGTCTGCAAATAATGATCTGCTACAAAATAGAAAATTTTCCACTGTGAAAAACTTGCTTTAACTACCTAAAAATTGCAAATTATATTGTTTTCTGTGATTTGGAAATTTATTTTAGTGTCTGTGTTTAGTAAACTTAGGCCCTGCTTCCTTAGGTATAGCTCTAACATTCTTGAATATGACTGTGCAGTTTTACAATTCACAGTTCTATTATGACACCAATGCATGTATTTGTACTGAATCTGTAATGTGATCTGTAGGCTCAGCCAAAGCGCAAGATGAGAAAATGTCTGGCAACAAGATGGCTGTCACCAAGGAGAAATATAGGCTTTCCAGAGGAAAAACCAATGGTTTTATCACCTGAAACACCAGTAAGGCAAATTCCAATATTAATATTATTCAATATTATTCTTAATCATAATAATGTTAATATGGATATCTAAAGATTACACTTTTCTACACCTGTACTTTATGTTTTATTACATTTTCAAACTTTTCAGAGTAAATCGCTGCTGAATGATGCCAGTGTGCTGTTCTCTCCTCCTTCCATCATCAAGGAAACTCTACCAGAGGAAATCCTGGAGGAAACAAAACCTCCCAAAAAGGAGGCCACCAATAAGGTACAGTATCTGGGAGGTTGATCAGTGCATTAGTACTCTACTCCCAGTATGAAATTCATGCCTGTAAATTTTACAAAAAATATACAAATAAAAAATATTTCAAATTTGGGAAATGGCTCTAAAGAAAAGAAAATACCTGCCTTTGAGAGCCAATTAACCACATTTATGGCAAATTTTTTCATGTACTGGATTATTTTCAGTTGCATCTTCATAAATTTTGCTTTTGATATAAATCATACTTATAAAGTACAGTAGATTTAAAAAAAAAATGTGGAATTTGTAAATGTTTTTGATAAAATATATTTAATCAAACCATAAACTGAATTGGCCTCCCAGTCTGTGTCCATTAGGCACATGCCTTTAAAGTTGAACCATAAAAAGTATCTTCATTTGTTTTCCACTATCTTACTTTTAAATTCAAAGAAACACAAGTTTTCTATAGTGAAAAAAGTAAAAAAAAAATATATGGCATAGAAATTTGTCTTGTGTGGAAAACAAGAAAAAAAATGTCTGGAATTTATTTTCATGTCATGTTTAGAATGTTCCCCCATAGGATATACATGTATTAGTCATGTTATGAGATCTCCAGTTTGTCATGTGAAGTTAATAAACTGATTATTTCAGAGTTCTGTGGTAAGGAAATCCAGTAGGAAAATCCAGTTTGCAGAAACAGAGTCACTCAGCAATTCAAAGGTAGGTGTCAGGACGCAAATAATACTAAAGGATTATGTATTACTAAGATGATATGCCAGTGTATATATGGTGATATAGTCTCACTATATCGGTATATTATGATAGAGGGATCATTAAAACTAGTGATGAAACGATTGTCGCCGACGATCGATTGTCGATTGTTTTTGGGTGTTCGATTCCGATTATCAATTGCGTTTTTCATAATCGATTGTCGCCCACATAAACTTGCCCAAATAAACTCGTACAATTTGAATGAAACAAATACGTACGCATTAACAATACATGTAAAACGAAAGGAGGTCAACAATAATGGCGTCCGAAGACGAAGTTAACAACAATCAAGTAGAAATTTACCCATATCCAGGGAATGCATAGATAGACCGTTCTATCGTTAAAATGATGTTGTCCTACGGACCGGGTTTAACGATTGAGTTTGTTCACTGTATTCGTAATGTAGCGAAACAAACACGGGCAATAACTCGTACTCGGACAATCTAGAGAGTTCCAAATGTAAACATGGCAGGTAAATTTGAAGCAAGAGAAAACGTGGAGAACATTAATTGGATTTGTCGTCTTTATATGGATTATTTTTTGGGATAAAAGTCATAAGCAATTAATTTGGAAGTTATTTCCAGTGCAAATCCTTTTATATTCTTCAAAATCATTTTGGAGCGGATCCACTCCGATTTGCTACATTGCAAGTAGGCCTATATGGGACGTATTCTAACTGTGGTGAGGGCTTTTACCGAGACACAGTTAGGTTATTATAACAAGGGAATGCAAAATCTGATGTCATGACAAACATTTTTAGTTTTTATGAGCAAATATGTATTTTTTTTCTGTTTCTTTGTTACTTATAATACAAAAACTTGTCTTTAGAATAAACTTAATAAAATTTTATTTTTAGTTTGTTACATAAATGATGAATGCTATAAAGAAATGGAATTTTGTATTTGAAATTTTAATTACCAATTAAGTCGATCATTGATTGATTAAGCTTCTCCGATTTTGACCGATTATCGATTATGAAATTTTCCCGATTATTCAACACTAATTAAAACACCCTCTAGTGAATGAATACAAAAATACAAATTTCAAACTCTTATTATTTTAATGTGGTTAATGTATTAATTTCAAATTTAAATTTATGTGTTCATACAAAATATTGCATGGGGCACTTATTTTTTTTTTTTAAGGACAGAACTTGAAGCAGTATAATACAAGTATAATGAATACCACAATAACAGAATGAAAAACATTGCTTCATGAAGTGCATGCAAAAAATCACATTTTCATCTCATTATACTACTGCCTCAGAAAAACCAAATTTTGCAAAGAAGTGATAGGCGTGGCATTTTAATCTTTAGGGTTACAATTATTCCGACTCTCTGCTTTTTATTTTTACAGATGAATAAAGATTATGTGAAGATTGCTTGTGGAAGAACTGATGATCAAATCCTTATGATTGATTATGCCAGGAGCATAGTTAAAAGTGCTTCTTTTATATAGCTGACGTAAAAACACAGCATTGTGAAATGAAACAAGCTCTTATCATACTGTGCAGTTTTTATGAATCAGCAAGATGGATTTGTGTTTAAGATAAGGATTTTCCACTGTTCTGAGAAAATTAAATTGTTTGTCTTCCTGAAAATTAACTTACAGATCATATGGTATCAGTTGTAGCATAGGAAATATTTTTTAAAAATCCATAAGTAATCCTATGCTTCAAAGACTATGCTTGTGAATGCAAGCAAGCACTTGTGTAGTTACTTTAAATTTTCTTGCATTTGATAGTCAGATGTAATAGTTATGATATGGCAGCTTTCATTCCTGTTTTTTTTCTTGCCTTTGTTGACAGATTGATAGAACAGTAAAAATGATATTGTAAGGGTATTGCTAGGATTGAAGTAAATTTGTCAATTCTTGTATAGATGAACATGTACATGTGCAAAAGCTGCTTTCATAATATGCCTTGTTGTTTATTACTGGAAGCAAGCACTGATAATCTGTTATGACATATTTCTTACTCCATTGATTTATTAAGACTGAATGTAATTCAGGGTATTCCCCCGGGGGTAGAAGATTTCATGATTCAACGATTTGATACTACATTTTCCAACAGGTTATAAAATTTGCACATTTTTTTTTAAGAGTTGTTTATTGGTTATGTTTTGTTGTATTTAAGTGTAGCTATTTATTTGTAGTAGTTTCTTTTACAATAACTCTGTAAAAATGTAATAATTGTCACCATTTATTTCATAACTGTTATAATTATTTAAATCATATGTAATTTTTATGCCCCGCCATGAATATGGCCGGGGCATATAGTGTTTGTCATGTCTGTCTTCCGTCCTTCCGTCCTTCCGTCCTTCTGTCCTTCTGTCACACTTTGCGTTTAGCTCTGTTCAAAGCTGAGTTTCAAAGAAACTATCCAAGATATTTTCATCAAACTTCATATGCTGATAGATATTGATGAGAGCTATGCAACTGCATCAACATTTTTTGACCTTGACCTTTCCTTTGACCTTGACCTCACTTTTCTTAAATTCGTGTTTAGCTCAGTTTTAAACATACCATTCAAGATGGTGTTATCAAACTTCACATGTTGATACAAGCTTGCACAGATGATGCATCTATGGATGAACACTACCAGACTTGCTTCGGATGCTGGATCTGACGTACATTTTCCAGATGAGTGACCAGGTTAAAGTGTTTGGAGCAGGTCCATTCCTAAGGAACTATAAGCCCTACTTGGACCAAACTTGCATGGATGATGCATCTAGGGATGGACACTACCAGACTTGCTTCAGATGCTGGATCTGACCTACATTTTCCAGATGAGTGACCAGGTTAAAGTTTTTGGAGCAGGTCCATTTCCAAGGAACTATAAGCCCTACCCAAACCAAACTTGCAGGGATGATGCATCTAGGGATGAACACTACCAGACTTGCTTAGGATGCTGGATCTGACTTACATTTTCCAGATGAGTGACCAGGTTAAAGTTTTTGGAGCAGGTCCATTCCTTAGGAACTATAAGCCCTGCCTGAACCAAACTTGCATGGATGATGCATCTAGGGATGGACACCTTGCTTCGGATGCTGGATCTGACCTACATGGGAATGTAACTATAAGCCCTACCTGAACCAAACTTGCATGGATGATGCATCTAGGGATGGACATTACCAGACTTGCTTCAGATGCTGGATCTGACCTACATTTTTATTCCCTAGTAACTATAAGCCCTGCCTGAACCAAACTTTCATGGATGATGCATCTAGGGATGGACACTACCAGACTTGCTTCAGATGCTGGATCTGACCTACATTTTTATTCCCTAGTAACTATAAGCCCTACCTGAACCAAACTGATTAAATTTAAACACATACAAATTTTCATGTTGCTTTACTAATATATCCTCGGCGGGGCATTCATGTCCTATGGACATATTTCTAGTTTATTTTCAAAATGAAAATGTTTTTTTAGATTTGTCAAAGATAAACTATAATTTATTTTTAATTTTTATTTTGGCTCTTCAAATTGTATTAAAACTTTGTAATTTTCACAATTCTATAGCAATTCTCATGGAATATATCAATCTTTGGAAGCTGTCTTTTGCATAAAAAATGAGAGAATTAATCAAAACAGTTATTTACTCTGCACTAACAGACTAGTTCAGTCTGCCTGTAACGTGATTTACAAACATATCATATTGGGTCATTGTGCTAAGATACAGTATGTTTATAAATAAAAATGTGCTAATTAGAGAAAATAAGTAATATCTTTTGTCAGATTATTCTGATGATGTGCTATTAGTGTTTATGTCTTGTAGATTTTTATATTTGTTCTTGATTATTTGTCTGTTCATTGCTTGTTGATTTCTTTTGTTTTGAATTATTTTGATTTTGTTTCAAATACAGGATACATTTTCACAAACACAGCATGTAGATGGTACAATAAAACTACAGTTAAAATATATTTGTTTGTATAAATCTTCTTTAATGAAAATATAAGAAATATACATGTACATAGTATGTATAATCTTTCCAAGATTTTTGGGGGAATCCTTGTAACAGATAGCAAAACAAAATAATGTGAAATTATTATTTTTAATTTATAATTACCAAAGGTTTGAGCATAAGAACTAAAAATTTATTACACCCTTGCCCTAAAAGTAGCAAAAGAATTGGAAAAGCAACTTTTTTCTCAGATTGTTTGCATGTTCAAAGATATGAAATAACAAAATTTTCTGATACAGAAAGTTAAATGTCACCTATAAAACCATATTAGTGTGACTTCATCATTAAGAGATATTTTCTAGTTATTTACTTATATACAGCTGTTTTGATATTGCTGCTGCACCATCAACGTTTCCAGTTGAGGCCATCCCATATTGTGTGTTTTGATCCCTAGTTTGGTACACTCTCAGGAGGGGTTGGGGGGTCCACAGTGGTGATCAATCACTGCGTGTTGGTGGTGGGTATCCAGCTACTAGTTTCTCTCTTTATCCAAACCCAGCATGATGATCTTTCTGCTGCTTGGGTCATTTTTGGACTGTCGTTCTGCTTCTCCCTGTCACCCGTAGCCCAGAGAACATCCTCCAAATTGACTGTGTCAGGAAGCCTACAACCAACTTCTACTGGATAGTTCCAGGTCTGCTATGCTTTATCCCTACATTCTGCCAGCAGTGAGTCATATTTTGCCTTTTTCCTTTCATAGGCTTCATCACATCTTTCTTCCCAGGGAACTTTCAGCTCTATGACAATGATCGTAGTACTTGCTTACTAGGTGCAGAACTGTACCCCTGAGCTTGAGAAAATTCGGACAGATGAAGCACAGAGCTACAGATCCATGCGTTGTAAAAACCTTTGATTTACGCCACTGCTTCTTTGTTGCTCACTTAGGGCATTATTTCTTGTAGTTTATGCTTTCTCTGGCTTTTGGAATTGTATCTGATAATCAATCATAAATTTTACTCCTATTTTTGATACTTCATTTACCTTTTAACGGTCTGAAGCAGTGCTTAATAGTTTAATTTGGAATGTCAGTTTAAAAGATTCCCGTTTTTGATGTCCAAACCATAAACCGCTGAAAGGTTAATTAAATACTACAGTTCTGCAGCTACTTGCTGATCACAGTACCGTATCAGGCTTGAGATTAGTTGGGATTATCTCTGGGAATGTCAGTTTCTGACCTAGATCCACAGCCAGTTTCCAATCATCTGCCTGGTTAAGTATTCCAGAGGACCTCTTTCTTCTTCAGTTTCGCCTTCTCTTACAAAGCAAATATGTATATGTTTCTCTGTTGTCTGTTTGCTTTTATTCTTCCGCTATTTCTCCATAGTGTCTGCCATCTCCTGTAGAATCTGAGTATGGCGCCACATTTATCTTCCCTGTGATAATGCCACCTGTGTCCGTTGGTCGATTTCCCGTCGTGTCCAAGCACCCACGACTCCCATCTCTACTGCCTTAGCTTGGCGGATTTCTTCCTCTCTGGCTCGAATCTCTCTGCACCATGCTAAGCCTCTCCTTCGTCCAAAAGCTGCTAATGGATGTCCATAGACTCGCCTTTCCACTGCCACTGTACCTACAATGTCTTCATGTCTCAATCTGCTCTCCGCCTCTTACTAGTTTAATTAGTTTAGTTTAAGAAGTATTTTATTCATAATATGCAAAGAAACGTACAATATGAATATGGATTGAACAGCAGGCCTACGGCCTATATCCGCGTCTTACTGCCTTTGTTGCTGACCATTTCCGCCCTGTCCGTACTTCTACTCCATATAATCGGACCTGATCATCTCTTGAGTCCTTCAAGGTCATGACAAGCCTTGCTTTGCCGGTCTTAAACTCTTCTACCATTGATGTCACAGGAAATTGTAGTTTGGCTGATTTGCGATACAAGCCGATTGATGTAAAGCTTGGTACTCCAAACCATTTCCTGAGGTGTTTATTGATGATTCTCTCCAATTCCTCCACTGTTGTTGTTGATATATGATACAACATCAATGGCCAGGCCATGCGTGGTAAGAGGCCATAGTGGGTAAATCCATGCCTTGAATTTCCTTGGTTATCCTGCTTTGTCTATGTTCCTCATCAATTCTCTAACTTGTTCTGTTTTCTGAATGTTGGCTTCGTCTCCAAGTGTTATATCAAACCATTTGCCTAAGCACTTAAATACTTTATAGGTTTCCAATTATAGATGGAATTTTCTCCCCTTGGATTGTTAGCACGAACTTCTGTGGTTCTTTCCCTTTTTTATTATCAAGGATCTTGACTTCTTAGGTTTGAATGTCTTTCTTGCACATGATGCTGTTTCTTCTAGAGCCTTTAGCATCCATCTTGCTTGGATATGGTATCTGTTGTTATTGTAAGATCATCCACGAAGCCTCTGTTTGGTGGGTGGTTGCCCGATGTTGCTTGATGTCATGGGACCTATGGTTTTGCTCTCACCGACCTTGATGGTCATATTCATACCCATTACAAACAGGATCACTTAGATGGTACACACTGTCACAATTCCCTTCTGCAGTTTCTGCCAAGATGTTGTATAGCTGGCCGTTGTGAAGCGTAGGTGTATCCCACAGAAGTAACATTTGATCATCATCTGAACGTGTTCTGGTATATGGTAGTATTCAAGGGCCTCCTCTATGAGCATAAATGGATCGTTCCGTATGCATTTGCTAAATCTTACCAAAAAACCGTGAGGTCTTTCTTGTTGACTTCTGCGTCATGGATTAGTTGTGTTATGATGCCAGTATGTTCAATACATCCGGAGAACCCAGTTACTTCTCCTTTCTGTACTGATATATCCATAAAGTGATTCCTTGTCATGGAACCTGTCAACCTCGCCAAGACAGAAGGTTTTCTCTTCCATGTTTACAAGGAGATTGTCTGGAACTTCTTTATCACCTCCGAGTTCTCTTCCTTTGGCACAAAACACCCCTCAGCCTTTCTGTAAAAAAGATGGAATCTTCCCTTTCCTCCATACCACTCTGAATAGTTTCCATAGGTGTATAAGAATCTTTGAACATCTCTTATAGACTTTATAGGGGATGCCGTTGGGGCCTGGAGCTGATGA